CCCCCCCCCAACCACCCACCCCTCGCTTTTTGTGCATTACATACGCGACTGCTTTCGCCGCAACTGTGTTTGTAGTGCTATGCCTTCCGCCGTATCGAAGCAAAAAGCCCAGCACAGTAGCCGATGCAGGCATCATGCCGCACCTGTTTTCATTTCAGGTGCTGTAAGCGGCGAAAGCCCAACTGTGTTTGCAGTGCTGTGCCTACAGCCGTATCTAAGCCCACCATAGTTATACAGAGCAAGACACTGTATCCAAGTGGGGTCCCTAGTGCCCGTTTGCTACTTACATAGGCTTAACCTGATGCAGGCAGCTGTCTGGTGAGCCAGAGAAGCTGAAACCATAGATCATAATTGCTCCCACTCTGTTGACGTGCTGGCCGTGCAGACGTTCGGAAAGTGGAGCCGATGGAACCAACTACTCCGCAACCAACATTGCAAGCAATTCTGCTCTACCTTTTTTTCTGTGCGATGAGGCTGATGGAATATTTCACCTGCCACAACGTAACATGCTCTCTACTCCTACTGTGGAGTCTGGTGATGGACTGCCACCGCTGCAGCTGCTGCCGCCGCCGCAGTTCGTAGCCAATTCAGTGTTTTTTGCCTAGCCCTTGTTCAGAGGAGCAATAAAAACGCACAAGGGGAAGTACTTCAGCAAGCAAGCTAGCCCCAAAGAGGTCTTCGCCAGAAGCGGTGCCGCTCGCCCCTCAAGATTGCACTCCAGTTCTAACGGTCAAACTTTGTGGGCAACCCCGTGTAAAAAGGCAGTACATAAGGTGTGAATACCTTTATTTTGACCACCAAATGTAGTAACAAGCCCCATTGTCGCACTCTGAAAACGTTTTTGCCGTTGTGATTGCACTGCACCTCAACCAACCCATAGACAACAGCCAGCCACGCCGCGTTTGGTCTCGTGATGCAGAATGGAAGGTGCGTCCACCTTAATTATTTGGCAAATTTGAAGTCCGAAACTTACACACCATAAACGTGATCTTAAACTTTGGTCTGATATTCACCCTTCAAACGCATCACCGCTAATCCGTTTCCCTACCGTTTGGAGTTGGAACAACGGTCAGCGGGGGCAGCCCCGTGCCCCACGTCAAGAAATTCACAACTTCCATTATTTTGAACCATCTTCTAGGTTTGAATCTGAAGAGTTCAAAGGGGGAATGTTGAGGGGTTTTCGGACTCCTAGTGTGTCGTGGATTAACCGAGACAACGAGGGGCGGCGCGGTGCGGACCATCGAGAAACGCCAGGAGGATTTCTGAAAATGCAGAAGAACATACGGTTCTTGAAAGACCATAAATCTATTTGAATTATATAGAGACAATAAACAAGCTGGGCTAGTCTGAAGAAGACAACTCAAACTTCCAATCCTAGTCAGCATTGAGGGTAGGGTTCAGCAACTAGGTTTGAAGACATGGGTATTGTTGGGGTTGTTGATTGGGTTGTAGATTGACATAAGTGCAGCATGGTCCTATCTGGGAATTTCAAAATCTGCTGGCAGTATCATTTAACAGCGATAGAAGCCTGAAAGTTAGGGTTGCAGCCCACTGTGATAGTATGTTCGACAACTGGGATATTGAGAGTTGTAACCCAACGCAAATTATTGATCAAATGGCTGCACTTGGGACTGTGTTGTCATAAGCCATGATCTTCGAGTGTAAAGAGGCTGTTGAGTTTGCTTGCATGGCTGTACGACCACCGGCAAACCGCAACAGCACAATGCAGAGAGGGCATCCGTTGAGCGGAAGTTCGAAGCAAGGGGAACTTAGCCACCACTTGGGCTTAGCCTTCCAGAAGGGAGGAGTGTCTGAAACAGTAGAGAAGAACCCTCTGTTAGTGACGGTGCGCAGGGCGTCGTCAGGACGACAGAAGGAGACCACAACTGGAACAGACACAGACGTCTGGGCTGAGTTTCCGTGTAAAGGAGCAGGATCTGAAGAGATGTCTCTTTCTAGTGATTTACTTGATGATGAATACGAGGACATATTTGTCGTGCAGCAACACAAGAAGACAAACGACCTTGAGGAGCTTGGCAAAACCCTAAAGGAATTTCTTGCCTGCATCAAGCACGTTAAGGGAACAGTTGCAGACGACATGCATGCAGTGAGCAGACAGCTTGCCAAGCACTCTGCCGGCGTCACGTCTGCTAGATCTTTCGGTGAGCTGCAGCACCACATCAACGAGATCGTCCAGCTGAGTGGTCCCGAGGTGAGCTAATTACCCACCGACCATTTAAAGGTGCACGACGTGCTCGAGCAAGCCTTCAAAGTGTTCGCAGAGGAGGAACGAGCCTTAACACTGTACTTCAGCCCATCCAATTGTCTCTAGAGGTTTAAATTAATCTTTCACGCAGGGCATATTCATTCATCGTGCTCGCAGAAGTTACCGGTGTGCAGTTCATGCGTTCATGCCTCTACCAGTTCCTACGTACTGCACTTTCACACTGCTCAAAGGCAGTTTCTCTGCTGGCCGTTTGCTTCTTCAGTTGGGCTGCGCGTGGTCTACGGTGAAGGTTGGCGTGGGGGTAGCTTCTGTGCTGTCGGGAAACCTCTTAGTTGGCAGCTTCATGGTGGCTCTTGCCGCTGGGTCCCTGGGGACTTCGCTTGTGTGGAAGGCTCACAGGGACAGCCAAAGAAAACCGGAATCCCCGACAGTGATTGACGATAAAGAAGAAAGCCGTAGGAGAAACGAGAGGAATACAGTGCCCAAGGGGTGTGTCTCACGCCTACGGATGGGCGATGACGGAGAGAGTCGGGATCCACGACTGCTTCGTGAGCCTTCCACCAGACAGAGCAAAGATCGGATGCATTCAGTGCAGTGGTCACTACATACGAAGGACCTCCAAGATGGTTCCGTACTCTTAGGGGCTGGGAAAGAGCAGCTGGAAGAATATGACGCCTGGAGTGGGAAAGGAAAGAGGAAGGGAAGCCGCAACAGCAGCAGATGGCTATTCAACTAGTAGCATGTGAGAGTCGAAGAAATGCACTGTATGCGGGAACCTTGGAAAAGGTACTGCAACTGCAGAAATCTCGTGCATACAGCACAGTGCATGCAGAAAATAAGTGTGTTTATATAATTTTTTAGCATATCTGGGACAAATGTAGGCGAAATCCTGAAACCCCTGTATAAAACTAAGCTGGAGGCGCAGCAGAAGTACCGACAAATCTTGCTGTCATGTGCTAGTACCTGTAATGGCCCAACCGGTTCTGCCAAGGAGCTGATACTAGGTAGTTGGTGGTTGTACGCTGCAACTGTTAGGGGTGAAGGATGAAAGCAGGGGTTCAGGCGGTAGTAGCAGCAGCCATGAGAAAACTTTGAGGTGGAAAAACAATAGGATTGCCTCATCAAACCTGAAGAGCAACCCCCTTGACTGTTACGACTGGGGTGTTGATGGACATGCGATGTGGTGTTCTGCGGCGTTGGTTGCATTGCGGTTCATTCCTGCAAGGCAAAAATGCATGGAGGATTCCTAGTCTTGTGCACGTACCTCTTCGAACTGAATCTGGGTGGTGGCAGTGCTCTCGCTGCTCTCCAGGAAGCCTACTGAGGAGCCGCTGCCTTCTCCATATCTGACAGGACAACGTAGACAGCGGGTTCATTATGAGTTTTCCGGACAACCATCAAGATTCAGCCTCTTCACTACTTTGGGTCGCATCAGTGCTCGTCAACTTTGGCCAGTGATTAAGTATACGGCTGTTAAATTTTTCCTGTCATTTTGATTAGGCCACGTAACTTCCGCGGCTTCATCAGGCTGCGGCCCTACTTGACATGTTTGTCGAGTTCGTGTTGGAGGCAGGTACTATTCACCTTCTCCGATTCTGTAACTGGCAATGAGCGGAGACACGACCCGCCCTAATCGTGTGACACCTGCTCGCGGGGCTGTTTCTTAAAAGTCCCTCAACGCCCGCTGGCCTTGTTCGCCCCTAGTATTTTATTCATGGATCGCCGACTGCCTGCCTCGGTGTGCCAGCAAGCGAAGAGTAAAGATTCGACCTGCTGTTGAGCGGGCTCCACTTTTGCATTGATAGTGTCTGCAGTTTTGCTTCATAACAAGGTATCACAAGTGGACAAATGCGGGACCGAACTTGCACCCCGTCTCAGGCCACGCAATCAACCCAGATGCATGCAGCGTGGCACTTTCTCTTGGATTGACAGTTTGTTGTTCGCCTATGAAGGTTATGCAGGGTGCTAACTCGGCAGAGCGTCAGCCTCATTGTGTAGTAACTGTATTGCCTAGAGGTAGGCTTTGTGTAGTTGGCTGAGAGAAGCATCCAGCTGAAGGAGATCCAGCATCATTAGCACCACCACGAGGACGCAGAATGCACCAATTGCTTGCGTTGCTACGGTCGCAACAGCGGCAAATGAAAGGCTGATGACAAAGAAATGAACCGACAACAGAATGACAAGGGGCAGGGCCACCTTCTCCTTGGTCCGTAGCCTTCTCACAATTTCCCCTAAAACACTCCACCATCGTCGTTTCAGGAAGTTGGTGTCTGCGAAGATATTCTTTCCCTGGAACTTAACTTTCTTCAGAGCCTTCTTGAGATTCATCCCTGATGTTGAGCCGACCAACGCCATAGCTGAACCACTGAAACGACGTCGTGTCTTGAGAGAGCGCGTGGAGACGAAGGAGGGGAGAAAATCCTGTTCATTGGCGTTGAACAGAGCCGCCGGATGCCTGTAAGGCTTCCTCAAGGCATTCACTGAAGATGATATCTCAGAAAAATTATGAGGAGGCGTTGAAGGGTAAGCTCGTCCGTTGCTCTGTCGCCGGGCGTCGTCCACTTCCGCACGCGCGAGGCTGCGTATGGCTGTCTTCAGAGCACTACCTACTGCCTTGCCAAGCCCCTTTAATCCTGTTTGACAGAAGAATCGAGCTTCCGCTGCTGATTGCATCACCTGCATTTGGGCGTACTTTAACAACGCCCCACTTGTGACCGTTGGATCTTCGTCTTCTACACTCATCACGTGCAAGCCGAACTTCGCTGCTTCCGCATTACCCTCGAAAATAAGAGCAGTCACTTCACCCAACGCTTTACGGAGCAAGCCCCTTAGCGGCGTCTGGCTTGCTATCCATGTAGCGACTTTTCCCTTCCATGATGATAGAGCGAAGCCTGGCAACAAAAACAATGTGGGCTCAAGCATGGACCATTGGACTGTTACCGAACTTACCCTCGTGCCGGGTCAACAAGTAAAATGGACAGTTAGAGCGTTGTTGCTGCAATGTTTTCGTTTACCAGGAAAGCATCTATTCAAGTGCACTGGGTACAGGAGACTGTGGACCTGTGGTAAGTTTTGCTAGAACCTCACTCAGGGAAGCGGACAGCGCAGCATGCACTCTTGCAGTTGCTTGGGTAACTTCCATTTCCGCCCAGTCCTCTTCCGCATTTTGTAAGTCATGAATGAAGCTGTTTGCTTTCTGTCTAGCCGCCTCCAGGTTATCACTTGCTACTAGGTAGATAATAGGTTTGAGAGTGGCCCGCACCTTCGCTTCTTGTCTTAAGTGTGCACACAGAACGTTCGCCTTTGTGCCGGTTTCCATGGCCTCTGGCGTCTTGCATCTTTGCAGATCGAGAATAAACGCGCTGGCTATAGCGTCGGCTAGCAACGCCTGGAAAAGCCCTTTTGTCTCAATAGTGGAACCATCAGGTGTTCGGTATTTCGGGCGACTCTTAAACATCTGCTTACATCTGTCCATGCGGAATAGGCTCAGTAGGAATCCTAGCATTGCCGAATCTACCATTTGTCGTTGTGATAGGAGCAACAAGAATTGCAAGCGTTTCAACTGCACCAAGTCATAAAGCATAAAGGCTGGTAGATTAACGCATGAAGTGCCTGCATGCGCCGTAGTCTGGCCGCTGAAGCTGTCTGAAGAACATGCGAAGGCAGCGGAGTGCTCATTGCTTCACTGCTAATCGATCATTGCTTCACACACGTGTGTAAGGCCGCTCACAATATTGTCGCGTCTTCTTGATTGACCAAGACGATCCCGCGCCGAAGTTTCTCCATTGGTGTTTTCGATGAACATTTCATACTGATGTCCAAATATGCAGGAGTTGGACTCCATGTCAGGGTACCTCCACACTCCCATAAGGTGCGGCGACTCTATTGCATCTCGGATATACTGCCCAAGTAATGTGGGGTCACTTAACTGTGGTACTGCGCGGACATACATAAGGTCGCTCTGCGACAATATCCAATCAAGCGGAGGAAGCATTGAACACCAATTGAGGTGACCATTGGCATTTATTCACGGTTTCCGCCATTCAAAAGTGTGTGTTGCATTTATAAACTATGTCTTTAATTGTGCAAACGTTAGGATTTGAAGTTGACGAAGAGACTGCTTCACTATGGAACAAGCCAGGGACTTACTTCCCATTAGACTCCTCAGTTTAGTGACCCCTGGCATGACGGGTGACAGCCACATCAATGTGAGGCATTCTGCAGACAACAGGGGAAGGAAAATATTGGTGTGTGCAATTGGTCAAACCAGAGAAAACAATGCAACCAGCATTAAGGGGCAACCGCCTGACGAGGCAGTTCGCAGGACAGCACTTCTCCGAGAACCCCCCGAGTCACACCCACAGCTGCAGATAGACGATTGTGTGTGCTTCCTCAGTGGTTCATGAAGTCAAGAGGAGTGGTAAGGCATGTGGAGGGTGTCGCAGGATGCGGATGGGATCGCTGACTGTAAATGCTTTCATTGCAGTCTTCGTAAACACGCCGCAGCTGAGTGGCAACATGCTTGGCATTCTTTCGGCAGGCCGTTTGTGTAGGATGGTTTGGGTATCTGATTCCCCTCTTTTTGATGCGGTTACAGAACACGTCGACCTTGGAATCAAGTTCTTGGTAGCCAAGAGGTAACTCAATGCAGTTCAGCAATTCTGAGCAACACCACATTATGCAGCGGCAGCACATCCTGTACACTCCAGTGCATTATCCACTGGGGTTCCCTAAGAAATTGGGGCCCATAAAAGGTTAACTTTGCATCTTATCTATCCCATACAGCCACCGAATGTGAAAGTAAGCACGCTCAAGCACCAGCAAGACTTACCGCTTCCAACACCCTTACTGACAAGATCCGATAGTGAATCGTGCTTCTCCCCTGTGAATTCGTGCTGCTGTGCAGTTCCACTTGGCATACTGGAGGTGTCTGTAGTAACTGAAAGCCTATGTGGTCTGCCGTGTGAGCTGGCAGAAGCCTCTTCGGAAATGGCATCTGCAAACCGCTCATCGGCGACTGCGCCGTTGTTGCCAAATGCACTTGGGGAAGCGGCCGGGGAATGCATGTGGTCTCCATCAGCTTGAGGTGCAGGAGGCTGATGAACCGACGCAACTACAACCGTCTTCCGAGTTGGCGTTCTTGAAGGTTCAGTGGTGCTTGACGCCGATGTTTGCCTCCCTGTTAAGGTTTCATCGCTTTCAGCGTTGTTTATCCCTGAAGTGGCAAGGGAGGATGAGGCACTTGGATGCTGATCTGAGATAGTTGGTCGCGCTGTTTGACTGCTTGGCTCATTCACGTCGGACTCGTCATCTGAGATTTCAAAGTCGTGAACCTTGCCCATTACTAAATCATAAGCTGTGGAGTACATATTATGAGATGCAGGAGCTTGCTGCCCTGTGTGGCGAACGATGTTTGTTGCTTGGGCTACCGCATCGGCTTTTGACTTTCCCTCCCCGAAACTGTCACTATCCTCTATAGTTGAATGCCCCTCTTCACTTTCAGAAAACGATTCGTCGGAGGGGCGGTGCCTGGTGCCTTGAAACTGGTACGCTCTGCGACTTTCTGTATTCCTCCTTGCTTGCCTTTCTGCCTCGGTCAGGGTCCTCTTTTTGCGCCTAGGTCCCATAGCGGAGATCTGTTGAGCCACATGCACACAGAGCAGCAGGTATATCTTATGGCTAAGCCTGCGTGCAGCAACAGATACAGTGAATGAACGCACTACAGCATTGTTGCATACGATAGCTCCAACGGTTTCTCTTTCGTTTCCTTTTAATGTCATCTAAACAGAGCTGTGGAGATAAGGGGTGCAGATTGCACCTGAAGATATCCCAACGGTCCGGCAGAGCCAAGATGGGGAGGCTCAATGAGTCCTGTTTGGCTTGGTGTGCTGCTTGACTCTCCGAACTCCGCTCTAGCCGTCGACCCCTGCACGCCCTTGTGACAGTCGTCGATGGATTCCCTTCTGTGTGCATCTGGGCAACATAATTACAGGGAGAACGCACGTAATAATGGTAATGTTGGCTTGTCTTACAAAGACAACGCTGACGTACGCTCACACATGTGGCACGTACTCTCGTCTCTTCGCACATAAATGAGCACTCGGCTCAGAATACTCCTACTCCTTGTCTAAACCAAGCAGGCTCGGCTCACTGGGATGCTATGGTGGAAAAGAGTTGCCTGTGGCTTACCGTTGGTGTGTGCCGCTGCGGATTTCAGAATTATTACCCACAGACAAGCACAAAGGACCGCAGCGTGCATTAATGAACGCTGCCCCTTCATGCTGCATGAAGCCCCGGGGAAGTGCAGGAGGCCTCTTTCTCTTCTACACAGCATTCCTATTGCCGCGTTCTAAACAGTTTGCTCAATGGCGGTTATGGCTTATTGTCGAGGCTTTCGGCAGTGACGGCAGAAGCTTGAGGCTCATGAATAAAAGGCCGCTTTTCAGCAAGCGAATGAGGGGATTCTTCCTTTGTCGAGTTGTTAGAAAATTGGAAGAAGTGTTCGAACACCCTGGCAACGTTTGCAGACGGGGAAATTTCGTCAGAGAGCCTGCGAACCCGTCTCCATGGTTATCTGGCGAAGGCCAATGAAACTTGAATTTCACCAGCCCATTCATTAGCTGTTGAGTCATAAAAGGAAGAAACGCCTGATCCTCTGGCTCTAAGTGCATTCAGAGTGCTTTTCCGACAAGACCCGGCTCCGTTCGTTTGCGCAAGCGACTAGTTTGGCCGATGAGCTCAGACAATAATAAGCCCCACAACAAATTGATAAATACGATCCTTATATTCAAAGAAAATTGAAGAGAATCACAAGCATGTGAAATCTAGCCTTCCCAAGGGCAGGAAAAGCAAAAGATACATGGGGGAGTAGCTGTCCCCCGAGTTGGTTGCTGCCCGAGCCCATTGCAGACACCGACAGAAAGACAGCTTTTCTTTATAGCCAGTGCCTATCTATCATCAAAAACAAATTGAATAGGGAGGCGGGAAAACCCGGTTCCAAATGCGGTTTTTTGAGGGCCAACATGGGTTGGTGTGCTGGAAGCGGATCGTCTGGTACACCAGCAGCAGCCCGTGTGAAGAGCATGGAGGTTTACCCAAACGGAGAAATGCAATGCCCATCGGCTGCCATTATACTACTTTCACTCTAAACGCTTGATGCAGAACTGGGTTGAGTTTGAAAAGCCTCTGACGAGTCACTTATTGAGGAAACCCGTGTCGTGTGGAGAGCACGGACGGCTTGGCGCTCTGACCAGACCATTGGCGGCCCCTCTGCAACCTAAGTGTCTTCCCAGATTTTGCATTATGTTATTTTTCTGTACATTTAACCCTTTAGGATGTACTTGCTTATCTTCTTAAAAGGGGCAGCAGCATCTCCGTAACTCGACTCACGAGATTGCCTGCCAATAGGCTTAATGCTCGTGAGTTCATCGAAACGCATATATCCTCCCAGTGAAGAGCATTCAATGAACGGATATATCTGAACCACCCTTTGAGGCGCATTCACGTCCTCATCATAAGGAATAGCCACTGCAGCCACACGGAGAAGGTGCTACTGAAGCGGCCGAATTAGCCGCCGTCAGGCAAGGCAACCCGTTCGGCTGCCTTCAGATGCAGGTTCCCCCAGTGTATAAACTCACTAACAAGAAAAACAACTGAAAAGTTTCACTTGACTTTCAGGGTCACTCCCCTCGTGTGGCCGCTCCCAACAACTCTGGTGTCTAGGTTCCCTTGTTGATGGTGCATTTGCTCACGATAACGTGCAGCCAAACATGTCCTTTGAGCATCACAGCTGTCACTAAACTCGACGAAACTGCCAGCAACTTGTCTATTCCTGGTTGTTTGCAGATGCATCGACGGCATGTGCATCACTGAACTGATTCCCCATTGTGTTGTACCCTCCAGTTTGCTTACCATCTCAAGTAACAGCACTTCGTCGGATTATAAAAGCGACTACAGAGTGGCAGTTTGAAAAGTCGGAACTTAGCATTATTGGCCACCTCCAGGCAGCTCCTACAGGCTGCCCGTTCGTGTCGACGCTCAGTCAAAGAGTGCAAATTAGTGCACAAGGACAGGCCCTGCCTACCAAACTCCCTCATCCCTACAGAAGAGTGAGCAGGCTTCCAACGAGGCTACAGGAAGCTGCATTACTACTACAACATAGATTGAACTGCATCTGTGCAGATGAGGATATGGTTGCACTGAAAGACAACACATTTCTCAGCTCCCACCCACTATGAGCCCCTTCTCCCCTTGCGTCCACACCTTGGAGGATATGCACATTTGCGAGCAGGTGCACAGTTATTCACTGTAGAACTCCACCTTCCTCTTCGTTTCCCAGGACTGCTGCAAAGCGGTTTACGTGCGGGGCAGCTGTTTCGTCCTGTCCTCCAACAGCATCATCTGCCCCCTCGCCCTATATAGAATTTACTTCGTGCCCTCAACTAAAACGACGTTTTTACATGAACATAAATGGTTGCACACGGAAATATATTCATGCCCACATTATCCAGCTGGTTTTACTTGCTGCGAGGATTTTCGACATAAGGCTAGTCGTTCTACAGTATTATTTCCGATAAGGAAGAACAAGGGAAGACTATGTATCCCTTTGCACGCCATCTGCGCTGCAGCAAAGTAAGGGATACTTTACACATCACGCATGTTCTAAAGTATCAAAGCTCCCGGCAAAAACCCAAATGGAGCAGCTGCTCCTGCACGGAATGTAAGCTTGGCATTGAAGCTTGACCCCATATACGTCCTTGAAAAGAAGGCCACGGAACAGACTCTTGCCAAGGCTAATGGTTCAGACCAAGTTGGTCAATAGCTGCAATACAGGATGAGCAGCAGTGCCTGCAGCATAAATACATATTAATTTTGATTCTGGCCGTTGTGCACGGGTAAACCTAGTTGCAAGATTTAAATCACTTAATGCTCCAGTAGACCGCCCGTCGGTCAATTCCTTTAACCCAAAGTATATTTCCGTGCTAGCTTCTCCCCACTAGCCAGCAACCGGGCTGTTTCGTTTCTGTAGAGCAAGTACAGTACACTACAATTTCCACTCAACTGCGTCCTTTCCTCGAGTCAGAATGCTTGCGCAGGGCTTTCCAGGAAGCGATCATTCCAAAGCATGAGCAACCATACGACCCTCGGGCCCTGTAACCGCTTAAGTTGTTGCGTTGTTTCTGTCAATTACATCTCCTTCTTCACCAGCACCACATGACGAAAGAGAAGTCGAAGGCAGGGGGACTGACCCCTCCTCTATGCCGCTGTCTGTAGCCCCACCGACAGTGTCGCGCAGCAAACGAGGCTCCTTAGCCTCTTCTGCGTTTCCTTCAGAAATGCTCGCACTTTCACCCGCCCGGGGAGGGTCTCCATCTCCTGCATAATCGCCACGCATTATCTCGTAAACTTCCTGGCGATGCCGGCCCCACAAGAGAGCACTCCCCAACGAGCTTGTTGCGACAGCAACCATCGCACCTCCCAAAATCAAATGTCCGGAGGCCAACGTGGCTATGCCTAGACCAACTTTTACACCAGCCCACACGCCGCTAACCTGCAGAGCGCACAGCATCCCAAAACGAACAAGGATGGAGTCCTGCACTCCGTCCCTGAAGTACGAATGTCCACAGTTTCGGTATTTGTAACAGCGCAGCTGAACAGCGTAACTCCGAGCTCGATATGTTGCGGAGATTGTTGAACCCGGAGGAACCTACCTCGGGACCGCCAGTGTCAACGATCTCTGCTAAGTGATACCGCGCCTCAGAGAAAGTTGAAGAAGCTGTTAAAGCCACAGAGTGCTGTAAAAAGTTTGTGCTGCGACTGCGCACTGCCTCAGCAAGGGCCTGCTGTCTCCTCTGCAGCTCTGTTAGCAGCCCACGCGAACTCGTTTGAGACGTTTCACTAGTCAAGTGATCTTGCCGTGTTTGTTCACATTCACATTCTTCCCCGTGATCCTTCTTCAGGCTATCTGGCTCATCGCATTTCCTTTCTCCTTCTCCGGAGAAGGCTTCCCCGTTTAATTTTGTCAATTCATCGCCCACACGTTCGCGTGTCGAAGGCTGCATGCAACTACCAAACAGAGGAACAACCAAGCCATCTATTGCCCTACTAGCCGCTCCAGCGACAGAAGAAACTGTAGTAGCCGCGTGTTGAACAACACCAACCGGGCGGCTGGAAGACATTCCCAATGTGGAACTCAACGATGCCCACAGCTTTTGCTTCTGCGGTTGGTCTTGCTGCAATGTGTCCGCTGCTGCTGGTGCCCTGGCCTTCGAGTCCTCCTCATTCATGGCTCCTCCCTGTCCACCCAGCGCCGGCAGTAGGCAGTGTTCACAGGCAATGGCAGTATCTGCAGTCTTCTCAAAACTAGCCAGCACCGGCCCAACCCCATTGTGCGCTTCAGCTGACATCACCGTACAACACCCGCCTTTACCCTCATCCTCTGCAGCAGCTATCGCTCGGTTGCGTGCATCCAGAAGCCGACATTCCATAAGAATTCCCGATGTCTTTGGAGTTGATGGCATACAACAGGACCCGCCGCCCAAATCGCTGGAGGGCGCGTGCTGGGGAGGAGTCGTCAAGTTACCTCTCCGAGCATCACCTGCCGATGCAGTAGACACCCCACTAACTGTTGCCATGTATTGTTTGGCAGCAGCTTCTGCTTCACTGCCTTCCAATTCTGTCTCTTCATCCGCAAGAGCCAAGCTGCAGCTCAGCTGCCCGTCGCATCCGCCGCTGGGGGAGCAAAGCCAGTCTGTCACTGCTGGAAGACGGAGCCTCCCCTTCAACCATTTCGAGCTGGAGGGCCCCTCGCTGTCCATTACTGGAGCGTATGCACAGCCACATTTACTCCATTTGATATTACTATCTTCAGCCTCACATGCACATTGGCTGCCAGCGCCTGGCTCAGCTTGGTCGAAGGGTGCGTCTCCTGGTGGGCTTGCAACAGAAGAGCCGAAGAAGGGTCCCAAGCCTATGTAGCTTGCTGCTGCCAACAGCGGCTTTGCTGTAGCTTCCCTGAAAGTGGAAAAGTCCGTCGATGCAACGCTGGATGCGGTGACTGAAACCGCTGCAGATGCATGCGTTCTTGCACTTTCCCATGCTTTAGAAGCCACTTGGCCACTCCTTCTCAGCAGAGATTTCTCCTGGTACTCTGAAGGCTTTCCGGATTTATTCGGTGATTCAACCGCCATCGTCGCCACAGCTGTTGCCAATGCATCAAGAAGTTCTTCACCCTGTGCATCGTTTACCAATGCAGCACGTGCAGGTGGAGGCACTTGTCGTCCCTGCTGTTGTTGCTGCTGCTGTTGGTCCTGCGTTTGCTGTTGTTGATGTTGCTGCTGATGTTGTTGTTGTGATTCTAAGTCATCTTCCGATGTTTCCCCCGCAGGAATCTGCCGAGGAATCTGTTTTCCTTCAGAACCTTGTGCGCCTCCGTCAGATGCAGACAGAGTCCCGCCAACACGAACAACTGGTGATGTCACTGGGGGCGAGTCTGCGATCGTTGAAGTTCCACAGGCTTCCTTACAGGCAAGCACACCTGCCCCCATTTTCAACGAACCCGAACAACTTTCAACTTCCACAGGTTCCCCTCCTGTGGCTTTCGAGTAGAGCATTGAACAACTTTCAACTTCCACAGGTTCCCCTCCTGTGGCTTTCGAGTAGAGCATTTCCGGCCCTCCCCGTCCCCGTTGGTCGAGCGCGTGTAGAGACTTTAGAGCAGCAGAAGGCACATCCATCTTCTGTACTGCTAATGCCAATGCTTCTCCTCGGTATCCCCTCGCCCACCTTTCCGCACGTGAGCCCCCGCTAACTCCGCTGACACGTAAAAGACAAGTCAACGACGGTAGGTATTCCACCTCCCCTCTAACTTGAAGCTGAGAAGCGTTCAAGACCGGCACATTCCTGCCATTACATCGCCGCCACCAAGTTTCATCATTTACCTGCTGCTTTGCTCAAGGCACATTCTCTGCTTAACCCGTTCGACTGCCAGTCTCCCGGCGCGACACGACAGACGGCTCTCAGGTAGTTGAGCAACAGTACTGTGAGGCCACTCACCGAACGAATTGTCAAAATAATGCAGGCAGTATCCAACAAACAAACCCCAAAATAAATCACTTGAAGATAGGACTGAGCGTTGCGGGTGTGCTGATGGGTTTTGCCGACGACGCTGGGGGTGTTCAGAAGACGGCTTTCGTGAAAAGTGTGAGAGAGGGCCTATCGCTTCCCCAGCAGAAGATGCACAGGAAAATACAGAGATACATTGACAACCATTCAATAAGCATAAGCTTTTCTCAATGCAACGACGGACCCCTCGTTGACCAGACCACCGGCACACCCCACCCCCAGCATCGTGGCGTGCGAAGTACATTCAAGTGAGCACTTAGCCTATGTAGAGCGCTCTAAACATCTCCTTACCATTAGACAAGTGAACTAGCATTACACTAGTGAAGTTTTGTTTTTGTTAGGCAATGTGAGGATTGGTAAGGTGCCTACTATTGTCTCCCGGCGGACCGAAATTAACGCCTGAATGGTGATTTTTGTCTAGACCTCCACCGGAGTAGGCTGCGATGACGTAGTAACTGCAACCATTCATTTGTGTGTCAGCTTTTTATGTGTACATGTAGGTGAATATTAGTGGAAAAGTGGTTTTACTGCTTTGCTCGAGGACTGGCTTTTTGTTGGAGGGAAATCAGTGGTGGGCCGTCCTCCCGTCAGTGATTCTTCCTCTTGGGTGAGAACCTACGAAGAACTCCTTCTCTAGTAGTTACACCTGTCAAACACACAAGGGGCAATGACGAGACGGAGATACAGTAGTACGCAGTTAGCACGTCACCACTTCCGGAAACAAACTCCATCGACAAGTGACAGCTACCCCTTATGCCGAGGTTGTTTTCCCCTTCGGCGCTGTCAACCCTAATTACTGCCCCAAACTCAGAGTTAAAGGACTTCCAATAGCTTTTGCAGTGTTCCGAAGGACTTCGCCAGCAGGAAACATGGTCGTTCTGAAATATACCAGAATGAAAGCATAGTGCTGCAACAATCCCCTAATGAACGAGGCCAAGGCCAAATTTGGAGGCAGAGGTGCAACACGCTGCCATCATGTGTGGTTCGTTTCACGAGATAGTCAACGGGAGGAAAAACCTCAGCAATCGCGCTGGTTAGGCGTTTCTACAACAATTTCGGGCATTCCAGGAAATTCTGTTGCTGATTGTTGGTGGCACAGTGCATGCATGACATTGCTCAGCGAAAGATAAGAAGTGGGTCGGTGTGAAGCTGTATCACAGTGTGCCTGAAATGTGTACATGCATTTTTACGGGATAGGAAGTCAGCACTGATGGGCGAGGAAGTGCAAAACAATTGTTGAAGGGCGCAGTGCGCGCTTCGAAAGTCGGCTGGAGTATGCGGGTCTGGAGTAGGAGTTGTTGTAAGGTGTGCAACAATTACCGCCAGAATTTGCCACCATTCGGCATTATATTGAGTTCCCATACCTTTGTGGGGCTGGGCCATTCAACATGAAGAATATATTGCAGGTCAGCTGCATTTACGGAACTCCCATCTCCGGGGTGTTGATTGCATTATGTTGTAGCAGTCAGTGATTAACGAGGATTTCCACTACATTGAAAATGCTCCGAAAGATCCCTACACAGAATTCCGAAAGATCCCTACACAGAAACTGCCTTCTAATGACTCCTTCACTCTTACGAATGATCTCCACCGCATACGTGTAGCCAGGAAGATCAAGAAGCAGTCACATGTTTCTCCTACGGCACAATTCCATTGACGGACGTCGGTATTACTGAGGGTGATCTGTCTATGGGTAGGGGGCTGCAACACTAAATTCCTTCGCGGCATATTGGTAGTAGTGGAGAGGCAGCAACTTGCTGCTCGGAAGTTCGCAGTTCCGCCCAGAACGCGGAGGTAGGCAACCTCACTGACATTAGCTGACCGATGACACGGCTCAAGCAAATTCTAAGTGGTGAGGAAGTACGGAAGGAGTCGCACAAGGTAGAGTTCGTTCAACGGGAATACATGAACTGGACGTGTTGCAGCTACTATCAGGCAGGAAGCTTTCAACTGGGCCGTATGCTACTTCTTTGAAGATGGAAACCCCTGACACTCACCCCTGACAGCCTAGGGGAAGACTAAATTAAGGTTGGCTAGTGGAGAGTCCACTTTCGGTTGAACGCCTTTCCTCTTCATGCTCTAACGAAGCACCGAGCAGAGCATAACATACGATCATCGTTTACAGTGCACAATAGAGGTCGTAAGTGTAAGGCCCCACAGCACATGCACCATGACTTGTGTCTGCACATGCTGGATATCCTGACCCGTTTGGATTATTCAGCATCAAGCTTCTTAGTAACTGTAAAGCGCGGAGAAAAAAGCTGCTGACACTAAAGTTTGGTTCCCACGCTACTTGCTGATGGCACAAGGGTCTGCTTCAGCCTGCTAAGCTAAAAGAGTGAGCAGATGACCCATCTTGCCACCACTATTGGTTACAGCAAAAACGGAGGCGCATTAGTTCTCAGTGCAAAACACATAGATTGTGGAACGTGGAGAAATGCAGTAAAGCGTGGAGGATCATCCCGTCCTCCGTCTTAGCGGCGGGGCATCTGGCACAACAAAGAAGGCAGCGATTTGTTAGTTATGGCTAGAGTAATTCTTTTCTCCGCTGGGCGGACAACATGGATTTCCGCAATTGAGCTGTCCCGGCAAAACCACTAAAAACTCAAGCCCACCTCTAATTGCATCCACTGAGTCGTGTTTGTACCGAAGAGGAACGTGAAACAACATAGAACAATTCGAACTAGAGAATATATCCACATTCCCACCGGCGGAGTGAAGTATGAGTGTTGGAGGCACAAAGCCCCTGGCGCCCACGCCTGCATGCGGCAATGCCAGGCCTCTCCAACCACTCCGTTTCCCGCATAAAGATAAGAATCCTCTATATATGAAGATTTTCAACAGATGGGTTTTCTTTGGTAGGGCAGTTTCCTTCAGAGAGAAATGCGCGAGGCACGATTTCGTACCTCACAGCCCCAGTTTGAGAAATGGGCCGTAGCGTCGAGTTGACATAGAAAAGGAATCGGCGTCTTTCCGTGGCAGGTATATTGCTACATTGACGAATTATTGGGGAAACTCGGCAGAATCACCTCCTTAATTCCGTGTATGGCACTGGCCGGCACGCCCCGCGGCATCAAGGGGCGCTGGTCTTTTCGGAATGCCGGCAGTTAGGACGTTCTGTGGTTTGGTTTCTGCCGGTCAGCACTACTGTTGCTGCTGTTCCTGCTTCAATGGGAAACTCGTGCTCTCCTGGTTGCATCTCTGCCACACCCGCTCACCGCCGCGGAGTCGATGATATCCGCAGATACTACAGGATCGGTCGTGTCATAGGATGCGGTTCTTTTGGCCAAGTGCGAGAATGCGTCGACAGAGAAACAGGCCAGATTTACGCCGTAAAAGTGATGGAAAGGCGGATGAGTGGCAAGGAGAGGATGACGCCAGGCCGACCCTCGAACGAGGCGATGATCCGTTCAGAAGTCGAAATTCTCAAATCTTTGCACCACGAGAACATTGTTTCTTTCGTAAAGTTTTTTGAGGACAAGCATTTTTTTTATGCTGTTCTCGAGAAGTGCGACGGTGGCGAACTCTTCCATCAGATTGTCAGCCGAAGGCAATTCACTGAAGAAGACGCCTCTGCCCTCTGCAGGCAAATGGCGTCTGCTCTCGCTTACCTCCATGGCCAAGGCGTTGTTCACCGCGACGTAAAGGTGCGACTCTCAGCAATTTAGTTGCAAACGGGAATGCGGTGCAAACAAAGGACACTGGCTGTTGCTCCAATCCACCGGCAAGAATGCATGATAACGCATGACAGCATCAACAAATGTACGTCCACCAGTTGCAGGACAGCTATGCGCAATTTCTTCTGTACGCATGTGATCACAGGCGGAGAACTTTCTTTTTAAGAGCAAGGGAGCTGATTCAATAATCAAGTTGATCGACTTCGGAATGTCTGCAAGGGTTAGTTTTGTGAGGTGTATGCGGCACCGTGTGCACAGTGGCGTCAGTGTATGGAGAAGAAATAGAAATAGTCTGCTTTACTCAACATAAACTTTTCCCTGTCCTTTGCTGCAGCTTCCAGAATGCGGATACCTAACGGATCTGTGCGGAAGCCCACACTACATTTCGCCCGAATTGATCAGGTGCCTGATTTGCCATATCGTTAAGAGGATATATTCATATATATATAGTTGTGCCTGCGTAACTCTGTCCTGGGACAAACTGCTGCAACGGGAGAAGCAGAGCGAAATGAGCTGCAGGACCAGCAGCTAACCGTTTGCCCCCTTTATAGTGTGCATTTGGGCTCCTTGAAATTCCAGTGTTTAACGGGGAGGGACCTGCCTATGGTTCATGTGGACGCTGTCTTACCTGCAGCAAACGTTACAACCAAGGGGCTGACATGTGGGCTTTCGGGGTGATGATATACCTAATGTTGTTTGGGAGGTATCCATTTGAGGGAAGTAAAGCCAGCGCAATAGCGGTGAGTGGTCGGCGCGGTGGGGCTTCCGGTGTCTCAAGGGGAATAAGGACACCTAACTCACTTACAGCTATCGAACGTGACATCAAATTCTTGAGGAATTGGGGTAGACTTTGGTGTGAATGTGTTTGGCGCAGAGAGAGGTGCAAAGCAAGCAACTTAACTGGTCACGGGCGGCCTGCCCATTTTTAACAGATGCTGCGATTGACTTCTTGAGTCGCTTGTTAGATAGAAACGAGAAGACACGGCTAACCGCAACTCAGGGTAACGCTGGAACTGAACTGATGCGTCATTTTGTCTTGTGTTTTGTGCTGCACGTGCCCTTGCAAGTTCACAAAAAGAGAGTCCAGGCTTCCCTCGTAATATTGCAGTGTCGCTGTAGTTTGGGGTTTATGCAAGTGTATGTCTGCATGCAAGCGACGTAAGCACGGATTTAGTCGGTACATGCATATGAGTAGGTTATGTGTTGCAATAAGGTGTTGCGTGTTGTGTAATTTTTAGCCTTGGCACATCCGTGGATTTCACAGCCATCACCTGATAAGGCGCTGTCCGTGATTGGCAAGGACAAGCTAGAGCTAGCGCGGTGAGTTGTGGCCAAACCCTCCTTTAGAATTTCTTCCTGAGTAACGCGTCGCATGTAGCGCCCGACTGACCGTTATTCAGACACGAGTAGCTTCGTACAAATGGAAGCGCAGAAGTAATCAAAGGTTGTGGGCCACATGGTGAATTTGAGGAACGGTGCACACGCCGGCATTGGGGTCGTGCAGGCACACGACAAACTGCACAAAATATGAAGTGTGTTGTTGCTTCAGCTCGAAGTGTTGTGCTTATTAAATATTGTGCTTATTCTCTGCAGACGGCTTTCCGTTGACTGTGAGCACCAAGGCAGTCAAACATCAACGAGGAAGAATTTCAAGGTTGAGAGGCCGCCGAAGCCGGTAGGCGCATCCAGAACCCATCTATCTCACACGCTCAACCTTGTGGCGCCCCTGGGGATTTTTTCAATGAGTATTTACAGTGCGTAATCATACAGGTTGTGTATGCTGGGCGCTTGCTTCAGCATAGTCGTCAGCAGGCGGCAGACTCCGCTAACCACAGCAACCGAGAGCAAAACGGAGAGTTTGACTGTGGTTAGAGGATGCCGAAGACCTGTAGTGTGACAGTGATGATTATGCTGCAAATCAAGAGTGCCAACGGACAGGTGGACGCCTGCAACTGTGGCGTATGGGACCGTTGCATATGCCGAACTGTGCAGAACGCGCACATGGGACAACTACCGCAACCGGCGTGACAACGGATACAGATACTGATTCAATGAAGCCCGGCATTGAACGGACACGGCGCAAGCAATGTTTGGGAACTGGGATGGAAAGAACATACGCATCTACTCTGTCCTCTACACACCCCATTTTGACGCTGGGCCATACAGTGCCGTCGCGCTCTCTCATTTTCAACCACAGGGCATTACTCGATGTTTTTACAATGCGTGGGAGTCACAAAGCCTCTGCACTCGACATTCCAGCAGATGTGTTGGGATGGGTTGAGTGGTGACAAGACGGGTCCGCTGTGGTAGTTTGTGGTGGACAGACATGTAGCCCGTACGAAGCCATCTTTGCGGGGCCCAGGAACTCCACCCACCAAGTGCATTCAACCGTCCTCGAACCATTGGCTGCACACACTGTTGATTCCCTTTGCTCCTTGCTCTGCCCAGAGATTCTGTTTGGCATCTGGAGTAGTGGCCTCCGCGCAATGATGCCGAGCGGCGACGCTCTTCCCTTTTGTAGACGCTGATAACATTTCTTGTCTTTTGCGTTCTGTGCTCTGCGTGAGACGCACGAGGGTCTGCCCCCAATGAATATGCAGCAACTGGGACTTCACCCTTCACCCCAGATCCTGCCCCCTACCTTAATGGCAAGACAATGACGCGTGTTGAGTGAAATTCGAGCATAAATGTCGCAATAACCCATACACAGCATTCTAACCCATGTCGCCCAAACAACCTATACAGCACCGGGGGCAGGTGAAGGGGATGGAGGGGTACCTCGTGAAGTCCATATATTATTAAGAACAGTGGCACAGTGCACTGGCGCACTGCAAGCAGTTCCGCGATGTTGTAACGATTCGTCGACAGGCACAGCAAAAGTCATTACTTATTAAATGCACAAATCCAACCAATGCATGCACCCACAGCCTGTCCGCTAGCTACGAATGGCGCAGCAGCAGGAGCACAGTGACACCATGCAGCCCATGTTGGTAGTCGTCAGGTTTGACGGCCCAACAATAATGGGCGGCAGCACCTATTTGTAATGGACATCTTGTGATGATCGCGCGGTGGCCGTGTTGCCGCCCAGTCCCACTACATGCTGCGGAGACGCCAACTTGCCCGAGGGCCCTCGACGCCTTCCGCCTGTAGACGAACTAACGTGAATCCGAAGGAGGCCGAGTTGCATAGTCGTCGTCCCTGTCTCTCTCGTAATAGCGTCCGCGACGTCCTCCATCCCTGCATCGCAGCAGACACCAGCTAAGGGCCAAATGCGGTTGTCTCGAATGCAACCAGTATGCACCAATAATTGAAATTAGCTCGAAAAAGGCGCTTGCCAAGGAGGCAACATACCATGACAAGCACGCACTGACCACCATCATCATCATCCGCACAAACGCATCCTTTCATGCGAGTCTTCCACGCAGATCAACAATGTAAAGCGCCAAACAGTGCAGTGCTGTGGTATATGGTTACGATGCCACTTATTTCTCTCCTCGAGACCCTCCGACCACTGCAGTGTGCACTGCAGTGCGCCTTTATACACAGTGCCTTGCGTTTGACTTTGGCTTATTTCCAGCAGGAGACTCCAGCCCAAGTATCAAAGCGCTTCGTTGCTGCTTCTCTGTCGGCTCATGTGTGCGACTCTTTAGCCTCTGGAGGACCCCCCACCCAACAGTTCATTTCTTCGGGGACTTGACGCTCCCTTTGTCTGCCTTTGCGCTTTACCTTTTTAAATCTTTTCTCACTGCGAGCTGAGCTGACACCGCCATTTCACTTGACTGAGAAAATATGACTCGAGTGTCACGAAAGGCTGCCTGTGGTGGCGTTGTCTAGAGATGGCCTTTAGTGGGCAGTTTTTAAGTTTCGTTCGCTGCACATATTGGCTAGCTGGCTCACCCTGGCGGGTAGCGGTGGCGGTCTCCGCGGTAGCCATCGTGGGGCCTCGATCTGCTTCTGCTACGCCCACCACGGGGGCGATAATCGTCCTCCGGTCGTCCTCTGTAGTCTCGCCGATAGTCATCGTGACCCCCGTAGCCCTCGTCGTAGCCATCGCGTCCGCGCCTTCCGTATGCCTCCCCGCCGCCTTTATAGCTGCCGTCGTAGCCCCCTTGGTCCCTCTCGTAGCGCCCAGCGCGGCCCTCGTAACGGCCACCCCCATGCCCCTCGCGAGGACTGCCTCTCTGGTATCTCCTGCAGCAGTTGCAGATAACAAAATCATGACCGCAGCTGCGGTTTAGGCATGCATCTACAACGAGAATCAAAGGCAAATTACTGCGGAAACATATGCGAGGGAAGAACCGGAGCTGGGCGACAAGACGACATACCCATTCTGACGCTCAGCCAGGATCCTCCGCATCGTGTGGGGCTGCATGAGAATTCACATGCGTCACACAAGGACACAAACACAAGGTTACACGTGCGTGATGTTGAGTATGGAGCTTGGCCACGCAATCCCCGCACCTCGACAGGATAGCAGCAGCAGAACAGCAGAGCTCTCCCGATCCCAAGCTCATGGCTCACAGATTTTCGCCTGTCTTGTGCAATAATCACTGAAATTTCATTTCCATCAAGTAAAAATCTGTCGAACTCGCGTACAGCATTCTGAGCATCCTTCTCATCGAAATACTCTACGAAACCGAATCCCCTGTAGAGCACAAATAACCAAGCACACCGCAAACACGTCGTCTGCCTCTGATAGGTGAAATCGTTCACTTGGTGGAATCTACCATGCTTATGCTGGCATAGCCTCGCATATGGACTCCTTACACTCCCATGTTGGGGGAACAACGTACCGTGGTTCCCTGGTGGTGTGGTCGATGGGCAAATAGACATCCTTGACACGCCCCATCCTTTCGAATATTTCTCGAACCTTTTCAGGAGTTGTTTCATAGCGCAAGTTGCGCACAAGAAGAGAGCACCCGCGATTTGCCATGGTGTAAACGATCGAAAATCTGATGCAGGGGCGACGGACCGACGCTTTCGGCCTGCAGGTAAGAGGACTCTCTTTGGCAGCCCCCCTCCTTTTTTTCGAAACAAAAACTTTCTACAAAAATAATCCAAGCCGTGGAAGTTCGGAAAAGCTAAGAAGATTCGCAGAAACGCTCGTAGCAACCTGGCCGCCGCTCACACTACGCAGTGCTCCTGGGACTACGAATCCTGCATATGGTTCGTGCCAATACTTATCTTCAGTGCAAGTAGCGGAGAAAAAGGATAATTCAGCCGCAGCTTACTACCACGCCTTGAAACGTGGCATCGGACATATGCAGCCGGAGTAGGTGTGGCTGAAGGTGCAGAAGCAACGCATGCACCACGATGTTTGCTACTCAGCTGAAGAGTACCTTTTCATCAGGTACCTTGCAGGTTTGGCATTTGATGCTGAATATGTAAGAGTTGAGGACGAGACATAGGAAGTGGCTCGGGCTTACTAGCATCTTGACACTTCTAAGTTATCTGGCCTGAGCCTGCCTACCACGTAGCAAGTCTTAAGTCGTCAGGCTACGACCCATTAAGTGGAAAGGATTTCATTCTTGTTTACTTTTTACGTCCCACAACTTTGTAATAAAGTCGTGCTCGCAGGCTTGCTTCCTTCGCACAACGCAGCAAGCACAAGCAGGTGGTAGGGTTTGCCTTCTTCAGCCTATATGAGCAAATTGACGAGCTGGCACTCTCCAGCAAAACTGTGCGTGGTCTGCACAACGTATTGATAAAGTTGATGAGGGTTTATGGAGCAATTAGTTAGTCCGTACATCAGGAACCACAACTAGCTTTTTGTTAGCAACGATGAGATCATACCCCAACCTCGTAGAATTTAGTGTTGTTCTTTTACGTTTTTCAACATCGCAAACTCGCATAGTTTGACTGCTGTGGATTCTGAATGTTTGACGGGCATCACCAGAGCAGCCTTAGCTCCATACAGACAGTTGTTTTTTGAGCAGAGCCCACTGCTGTTGTGTGGCCAGCATCTGCGCCTTTGTACAGACATTGCAGCGGTTGTTTACCGAAGACAAAGATCCTTTGAACGAGGGGCTTTTCACTTGCTCATTTCACTCCTGCTTATACATGGGTGGTGGCCGCACAGCCGAGCTTGCCATCGACACGGGCATGACCGTCTGGGCGGCCGAGCGCGTCGGCACAAATCTTGGATTCCTTGCAGACGTTTTGTATCCAATTAGTTATGGGCTTTCATCATCATGAAGCAAAATACTCCAGCTCCTCGTCCACGGCCTTGCATCCCTAAATGTGGCACTGATACGGGGCAACGGGAGGCTGCTGCTGCGGTAGCGGCTCGAGCCCAGGTGAAACACTGTGCCGCTGCTGGTTTGAGGCGGTTGCTTATCGCTCGAGACGAAGCAGCACGGTTCTGTGGCCGCAGTGGACATCTACAGTCGTGGGTTGGCCGGAAGCAAAAGGTTATCGAGGCAACGGCTTCCCGATTCGTTGCTTCAGTCGCACGCTCCTGCTTAGAGCAAGTTCAGGTTTCAGGTGCAAAGCTTGGAACTACTAGCAGCCAGTCAGCCGCAATATCCTTTGTGGAAGATCCCATTCCCATTCAGAGCACATCACCCAGCTTTGGGCGGGAAATCTGTAGCGAAGTCACATCCGCACGGGCCTCTCAAGACCACGAGTCTCGTGAATCTGCGCTTGACGCACCGTCAATCAAGGTGCGTGAGGGCTATGATGTGCCGCAACCCATCCCCATATCAAGAATCTGCAAGGTGTCGGGTTGCTGCATTGGTGCTTTACCACGTGGAGAGTATAACGCAGTGGGCGACCCAAGACAGCTCCCTGAAACACACAGTGCTCTCAAGCGACTGCCTAACGGTGTGACTACCGGTTTCCAACGTCTTTGCAGTGGTACCACGAGAAAGGGTTAGTCATAGCTCTCTACAACTTCAGGAACACTCAAGGCTGTAGCGTAGTAGCACGACTGAAGTGCAAACTAGAAAAAATTCCCAATTGGGTTTCAACCTCCGTGATCCACCTCTTTTGCTTTTCGACGATTGACGTAGATGTCAAGCGAAGTTCATCAACTGAGCAATTCTCTGATCTTACACCAAGGGTTCATGGAGGCAAAGAAAAGTGGATGGAGGGCTACCACCGTCTTAGTGAGCAGTGCGCAAGCCGCACGCCTGCCTAGTCTGCCTAAAACAACAATGGGAAGGTGCTGCTGAGAAACTCCGTGTATTGTGGTAGAATCTTGCGATTACATATTCAGATATAGACAATTATTTCAGGAGATTGCCACTTTGTTATCCAGTTCCAGACTCCCTCGCTGGCAGGTCCGTCTCCATGGTTCCGTACTCTACTTCGTTTGCTGTTGTATACCATACACATTGGACTGCACCGCCTTGACTCGAATTTCCGTGCCTCATGAGTGTGGTGAGGGTTGTACAGCGGGATGGTCTAGACTTCGCATTGACCACAGCTGAGCGCGAGTACAAGAAGGTACGAATACCTGCCCTTTGAAGCAGGAGGCCCACCCTATTATCTGTACTCTAGAATCAATGCACATAATTCCATGGCGTTCGTGTAACATCTTCTCCTCTTTCAGGTACTGCAAGAATTATCCGGTGAAATCCGCAGGGCCCGCTCCTCTGTCAATCTAATGAGTAAGACAGGAACGTTGCGTTTAGGACCAGGGATGCTCAAGTAAACTGAACCTGCGAACTGACAGCTACGTGGGCCTAGAGGTGTTTCTTGACCTTGGGAGCAGAACGTTCCCATATTGCACTTTGGCATCGTTATATTAACTGCTGCCTGCTTTTTTAGGGGTCCAATCATGCACCAATGTAGGCGTTAACAGTATAAGCATTTTATGCAACGCTGGGTTGATTTCTTACCTAAAGTCCGCCTGGAGTAGCACAGTCGCTCGCCTTGAGGATACACAGGTCAGGATCAACTGTATTCCCTTCTACACCACGCATGTTGTGCTCGCCGTCTCCAGTAATCGATGAAGGTGCTACTTCTATAAAATTTGCTTTATCCTCAGAACGAGATTACGGAATCTCTGAAGAACTCTATGTCACGGTCACTGTCGAAGATTTTTAAGACAAAACAGATCTCTATGTCGAACTCGACCTGTTGAAGAACAAGCTTTTATGCTGCACGCTTCATGGAGCTTGACTGAGGAGACGTTGGAGATGGATGTCTTGCGAAGCCGCAGTAGCGAAGCTTTCCCCGATTCGATCGCTGCTTACTTAGCCTGGCGGCAAGGGGATGGTTATCACCGCAATTCACACTGATAAAAATCCATCGGATATCCAATGAATATGGGGAAGGGCGCAGCCGCAAACGTTGCAACTGAAATCGACACAAGCCGCTGTAACCCTCCGTTGGGTTAGCATTTGACGGCATACGCTGCATTTGCATGTAGGCCTGAAAGCCAAAACAGGGAAGCAACGAGCTTCTGTTTTGCAGAGTCTCTTCGGAGCATATCACAACTATGTCAATAAGGTAAAAATAGTAGCAATTACCGTAGGCATCAAAAAATCCCCCTTCACCATAGTTACAATCAGGGTCATCCCCGCTACATCTACTGCCGTTGAGCATGCCGTTGTTAAATTCAATCGTGCGTTTTTGTAAGCACGGCAATCGAAGGCGCTCCTGCTCTGAGTTCAGTGCATGGGGGAACAGTAAACCCATGTTCGCCACTCCCTAAAATTGCAAAACATCTGCTCGCCCTTTGCTCGCCATGAACAGAGTAAGACAGGCCAAGCATGGCGTTGCTTTTAGGAACTCGCTGGTGCTTCGCCTGCCCATTAGTTTGAAGCCGGAAGGTTTCTCAATAAGGTTTTGGGCATCGTAGCGTATGTACGAGTGTGAAGGGCAATGTAGGAGTAGCATACTTTGCATGAGTAGCTTGCTCGGCACTTGAACGCAAGTAGACCCACAAATCTGCCCCCTCGGATAAACCAAAATGCGTCTAGGTCATTCCAAGGGGCCTTTCCTCGGAGCATCCTCGAATCTATGTCCTTTTAGTCGAATTAAACCGTTTTTGTTGTTCACCTTCACCTGCATGTTCTCCGTAAGGTCGTGGCTTGAGTGTCCACATAATAATATAATAAGACGCTTCCGTTACAACTTGCGCAAGAAACTCACTCAGCTTTGATGTGCTTACATTGTTCGGCCACAAAATCGCAGCCACTGAATTAACTCAGCTTCAATGTGATGCGAAGTGCTGCTTTGCTGGTGGCTAGGCGGTGTTTGCAGCCGATGTTCAGCAGCAGTTTGCAGTGCGTCGGCGAAAGCCACCCACAGGGTCTTCTGCCGTGTCCCCGCCAATACCATATCTCGGCCTAGAGTGCAAAGTTCCTCGCAGCTTGCCGCAGCTGCCGCTTTCGAGAAGGCGGCCAAAACGTATTCCGCGCAACTTTGCTGTCCTAGTCGCTCTAAACCAGCGAAACCCTGCGCAAGCGAAGACGCAACTTAGACTGCAGGCATGTGTTCGAATGCACCGTCACCATCATTCCTAATATGCCATCCGAAGGAAAGAGAGAGAGAGAGAGAGAGAAAGAAATAAACAAATAAATAAATAAATAAAGAGCGGCATCACCCACGACACCGCTGAGAGCAACAACGGTAACAGTCAAATCGGCATGAAGGGAACTGACGAGTGCAAGGTCGAAAGGACTGCAGGGCAGCCGCGAGGACACAGCGCGATAGGCCTGTTCTTTAAGTAGATGCAGCACAATATCTCTGTCTCTTTGCAACAGTTTCACATCATCGTTGCTGCTGCCACTGCAGTCAAGCGCAGAAAAAAGGACAGCTCTCGAATTGCTGCTTATCTGCGGGGTCGGAATATCCATGGCTGCAGAAACACTCGCCAGCGGCCAAACCAATGCAATAGTGTCGCGAGCATCGCCTTCCTCAAAAAGCCTCCGCGTCGTCTTTTGCATCTTTCTCAAATGCCGTTTTGCTGCAATCAGCAGCTCCCGAGCTGCTGCCATGTTGAGGCCCAAGGGCTCTGCAGTGGCTCCCAACAGCAAAAACAGACGACGTAACTGCGAGAAGGTCAGAGAGTTCCACTGAGGCTGCAGACACGCCAACAACTCATCCTGTAGCTCTCGAGCGGCAAAACAAGCTGCGGGATCTTGGAGCAAGCCCCCTTCCTTCATGGCTAGTAGAACCGTTGCACCATCCGAGAAATGGGCCCTCAAGTCAGCTTTTTCCGCCTCTGTTGTCAATACGCCTTCACGTGAGGGGCCAGCGTCATCTAAGAGCAGTGGGCTGGCGGCTCCTCGAGCCGCAGCCCTAAAGGCAGAGCACAGCCGCCGAGCCACCGCTATCGCGAGGGGTCCTGTCAGCTCTCCGGCTTTGGAAAAAGCCACAACCAGCAGCGCCGCAGTAGCCAGAGACACCTTCTCCTCCTCCACTTGGTGCATCACTTCCTGTCGTTGCGACGCCCAAAATGAACTTCCACATGGCGCTGTTCTGTGGTGTTGTGCGGCCTGCACCGTTGCATCAGAAACAGCCAGGATTCAGGCGCGATTCAGCAGGAGGAACGCATATACACATTACAAACTGCGTGAAGGCTTGGCTTCGTATCCTTACTTCCAGCACTCGCTGAACCGCTGACGGCGCATCTGGACGCGCATTCTCTCCTCCCTCCTCTGGGTCAGAACGGTTCGATCCTTGGCGTTGTTTCCTTTGCACATGAATTTCAACTTCACTCCCGTTGCTGCGATGGCATGATAGGGTAGCAAAATTCAAGCTTTGTTGCGGCAATAACCGAACGCATCGCCAGTTGTGCAGGCCATACCAGGCTGAGTGCGAGTGTGTCATATGTCTGTTAATGCCGGCATACAGGGTCATCGGAGATGATATCCATCTCCTTTTCGATGAACTACATATTGGCGAGGCAACTTCTACACCCCTTTGAGCTACCACCATCGGCAGGTGGCGATGGGCCTCAACGGCCTCAACGGATGTTCGTAGGGCCCGCCATTGAAACTCATGAAACTGAGACATGCAGAAAACATACGGTTTTACGCGAATCCTCTCTAATTCGTGCTTGTAGTGGTGTTGGTGGGCCACACAATTCATCGAACTTGCAACTGTAAGTCGATTACCAGAGGGTGACAACCCACGTTACGGCGGCGCAGAGGAGTGCAATTACGCTGACCCCAGGAACTGCTGAGGATTGTTTACATGGTAAAACAAATTAAGACACAAGCGAAGATGATGGAATAGTGAGTTGCGGAGACAGCCCGGAGTCGGCGGGACCGATGCTGGCGTCTGTCGGCCGCTTCTTTCTGTTATTGATGCGGCGCCTGTAGTGCAAGACACTACAATGGATCTATAGTTTGACCTCTAGGGGCCTAATGGCATGAAAAGGAATAAATATTATGGAATACTTCAGGGATTAGGACACTTTTAGATACAAAAGCCGCTTAATAGGATCAGTGTGCTCGCCAGCCGGCACTTGCTTGGGGCTGGGTGTGAGGCTGTTGCTGTGACTCTTGCACTGACCCAGGCTGTTGGGAGGTCACCTTGCAGAAAGGATAATGGTGCCTCCCTTTGACTCGATTACTCCACTCCAGACCCCTCGATGTGATTTCCAAGAGCCGAGACCACATAGAGCAGACCGGCCCTGCGGGGGATAGCATCCCCCCTGAGTGGGAAGAGTGGGAAGCTTGAGGTGCTTCCTTCGTCATCTAAAAATGTCATACGAAGAGGCCGGGATACCTTACGACCGGTGGGGGGCCGAACTGCGCAAATACTTGACAACGAGCGAGTGCCCTACAGTACGGGTTCTATCTGTGGGATAACAAGGTTGATATGAAGATTGGGAACGTGTCAAACGCTCAGTGCTCACCAGATTCTGTGGGATTCCGCGAGATGTAGTCGCTTTGCGTTTATCTAGATTCAGGTAGCACGGTAGTGCTGTATACTATGGAGCAGAACTTTTAGCCGTCCTGTCTCAGGGAGAACCCGTCCCGCCAGATCGGCTAGTGGCCATTTTTCTAGCTAACTTGCCTGACAATGTCCCTCTAAGAGTGACTAAGGAAGGCCATATGAAATTCACAGTCTGGGAAGAGGCTGCCGCTGAGCTAGAGAAGATAATGGGTACAATAAAAGGGACATAGATTATCTGCGGCAACCTAGGCTGTACGTACAGCATCTACGGCGGACTGTGCGAGATGTGTCTTATGAGACACAACGATGTGGAGATCGAGGGAATCCACGGGATCGGCGAGTGACGAGGGACATTGCCTGTTTTGAGTGCAAGGGTAAGGGGTACGTGACATCGCAATGCACGTCACGCAACGATGCTTCGCGGCGTACTGGAGAGTTGTGTAGGAAATGTGGAGGTCTGGGTCACTATGCTCGAGACTGCCATGGAGGTCACTGGCGAGCAGATGGGCAGGAAGGAATCAGGCCGTTATGAGATCGACGACGTGGGGTGAACGAGAGCGTTCCACGGGAGAATTCTTGAAGGAGCCTGCTCCTTGTGAAGTTGTGTTAGGGCTTGGTTCGTCGACCGCTCAAACAGTGCAGTGGTATCCTCAGGCAGATAAGTTGCGAACCCAAGGGAATGCGACGTGGGGTGAGCTAAAGGTAGCTCAGTCATACGACCTTCGGAGAAAAGGGGGCCGCACTAAGCGACTGCGCCAGAAGACCCCAGCAGAGCAGGCACACATCATCGGCGCTAGACACGCGGCGGGCAGGATATCGGAACAGGTCGCGGGCATCCTATGGACGCCACATTAACAGTACCGGGCTCACACGGGGGCGGGAGCGAAGGTGTCGATTGCCTAAATGACTCCATGCACTAAATAATGGAGGATAAACGAAGCGTTAGCCGCAGATACGAGTCTTTGAGCTAAAGACCACGAACAAAGAGACTGTAGGGAGAGGGGCGATATCCCGCAGCTTCGGAAGTCAAAGACGCTATTTAACATTAACTAAACTTAAATTCGATCCCTTTTTAAACTCGCCACTAAGAGCAGACCAATGCGAAACACCTGTAGGGTGATGATGGATATGAGTAGCAACGGAACTGATTGGGAGGAGGCTGGGGATCAGGTTAGCTCACCTGAGGCAACGCAAGACTAAAAGAGAAAATGGATAGGTGGAAAATTCCTCAAGTATGTAAAGGCACACAATGAAGAGAATAGGAGTACGCAAGACCAACCTGCAAGAGCGTCAGTCCCGGTTGCGGGACATAAGTCACCGTGGGGGATAACAGGCAGAAGCCAAGGAATGTAATTGACGTTTTTAGCAATTGTGACTCCCAAGTAAGGCTTCCAGTTATGCTATCTATAAACCGAACGCCCTTCCCAATCTAGTGGTTTGCGTGTTCAGAATGCAAGCCATCTGCTCCACTAGGAGTATCCTAGCACGTTTTATCGCCGATGACGCCCACGCATAAGAAATGCCAATTCACGTTCGTTTTATAAGTAATATTTAATTATCATTATTTCAGACAAACACTTAACGCCGCTTGGAGTTTCGTACAGGCCCGTTGACGGCTCCTCGCTCACTGTCTCGAAAAGCGAATCGAGTACTCTCCGCCGCTTCCTGCCTGTGATCGTGATCACCCTCCTACGGTCGGCATTGCAACGCTCTCGCCTCACTTATACTTATAAATCAGAGCATCTTCAGGTTGAACAAAGTATTTTTATAGCAGCAACTATTCCGAGAACATCTTTTCCTGTGCACAATGGATCTGCCGGCGGGAAGTCTACGAGGTGCTGGTCCGTCTGGATCTCTGGTAGCTGGGAGTGAGAAGGGTGATAGACATCAAGCTGGTGAGAGGGTAGATACTTCAAAGGTCGGACATGGTGCTGAAGAAGAAGTCGGAGAGCACCCTCAGCTCCCCAAGGAGCCGTGTTTTGCGAGGCCCGCGCCCTGGATGTATAAGATACGACAGGTTACAGAACAGCTTGGATCATTGGCCGAAAGCGCTCGCATCATGCTCGGAGCCATTGCAACCCGCGGTTCCGCAGGCCTAGGTGGCCCACCTAATACTAGCGTGGAGGAAGTTGAGGGGACCAGTCCAGTGGACCGGCAGGAGTCTCCAGTTACTACGAGACGCGAAGTTCCGGAACCCAGTTCTCTCAGCAGTGTTCAGGAAGGAGGAGAGAACAAGGATAACTTGGGAGTCGAGGTATCTGTTATTGAAGGAGGAGGAGACAGCGAGAAGCCTCAGCTGCCGAAAGAGCCATGCGCATCCAAACCCGAACGTCCCTCGGGCGGGGTTAGGGGACTCCTGATGAAGGTTGCGACAGTAGCTACAGCAGCTGCGGTGCTACTTAGAGAGCTTGGCGAGCGTGGTCTAGCCAGCGTAAGTGGACCTAGAGCTGCTATGCCGGCAGTCGATGCCGGGGTGAACAGTCAGCAGTTGGAATCACCACTCCATCCGCCTAGCCCACTGGACGTCACACAGCCGGGCAACCCGCTTCCGACGCCCGATGATGTCGCCTCTGGAGGATCTCCTTAGCATAATCACACGTCGCTCTTGCTTGCAGACGTGGTCATTCCTCCCCCTGTTATGAGGAATTCCTTTAGTCACAGCTTGCATTTGAGATTTTTGTAGACGCCCGTGGCGACCCTCACATGATCGGGTTGTTTGATTATTTTTATGAAACACCGTTTCTATTTAAGTGATAGCAAGTTGCAGGCGGCTAGCTAGTGTACGCTATGGCTCACCAGCATGCTCTTACATGGGACTGCGCTGTCGCAGACAAATTGTATTGCATACTCGGTCCTATTTGTGCACTGCCTACTACAGGTGACATTGAGCTGGATAATTTTTAAGACAGAATTCAGCGAGAGAGAACTAGCAGAGGTCAGGAGATTGAGGTAGATACACTTCCTAGCTCCCCACAGCGAAGAATGAACGGAGCAGCGAGGAGGTAAAGAACACGAGGGAACATTGCCTAGCTTGGCTGCGGTGGTGCCGCATCTGGCGGCGGTACGACGTGCATCAGGAAACCGAATTTGTAGGTGCCCCGCCAGTAGTCTATCAGGCCGCTGACGCCGAATCCGTTATAGTCTTGTGCGAAGACAGAAATGCGCCCACAAGTGTCTATAAGCCCCTGCACTCGGGCCTGCCGAAACAGATATTCCCACCCCTGAGCAAAACATTGGTAGCGGAGCACGACCAGAGGATGTTCACCTCACACACCTCGACACCGCAGGCGGGGATTGGTCCAACGGGCCTGGATGGTTAGACTTTAAGTCTCAGAGCTCGTGGCGGGCACGCACCAGTCTTAGAGCAGATTCAGTTTCCGGATGGCTATACTCGAACTCGGTTGCCATAGAAAGCCGATCAGTAACCTGTGTGCAAACTCACGTCAACGGGGATTTAACAAAGTGACTACCTTCACGGTGTTCGTCCAAGCAACGTGAAGCGCACGTTTCCAAGGTTACTGCAATTGCCATACCTTTCTAGTATATTGCACTTTGCAACTGTGGGTAAGCTTCGTTAGACCCGCAGGAGATTTAAAATCGGGCTGCTGACTCAGCTGGCCTGCAATACGGTACAAGCGGAGGAACAACATGCCATTCAAAATAAACCTTCCAGTATACACTATACACATACACGCGTTCCTATTGGTTCTAGAACTGCGGCCACTGCGACTTAGTGTTTCCCATTCCGCCAACGGAGGGAACCTGGGGGATACAGAAAATGCAATTTACATGAAACAACGGATTGCTTGTCCAGGTTGTAGCGACTCCCGACAGCCAGCATCGAGGCTCCATTTGCACCCTGTAGCGAAAAAGCAGTTCCAAGTGCAAGAGTACTTGCAAGTTTTCAACGCTGTTGCCACCAATGCAGTCCAATGGAAACGAGCAGCAGCCTGATGGCAACGCATTGCTGAGACGTCCCATATGGTGTTGCACTTGCCACATAAGTTATCTCGCAGCCGGCCTGCAGTTTGGGGGTCAACACTTGTGAAAACATTCCGTCCAATATCCAGCAGGCTGCAATCAACGGCGCACAGCGGCTCGACACAAGCCTTATCTCCTCCTATTCATTTGACAGTAAACAGCACACAGAGTCGGTAGCTACGAACAGGAAGCAAATACACTACTGTTTGGCGCATTGCAACACCATATATAATTCCTCGCTGAAACGAGCAAATGGCTCAATACTACGTACACTGCCAAGCCAGCTTCAAGGAAGAGGCCCAGTCACGGCCTGTGTTATCGAGAGAAATTTCATAAAAATTTCGCTGCTCGTCTTTCAGCGAGGAATTAAAGTTCAACTTGAGATCGGCGCTCTGGCATAGGGTCTTAATGAGCCTGCAGCAATCGAAGGAGAACCTGAATATACAAAAAGTACGGTTGTAATTTGTCAACGGGCTTACAACAGAGGTATGCATTCCTCCGACTTCTGCTGACTCCTTAACTGTTTTACACTATCAGTCAAACAACAGCACAAACTGTCACCTTCGCATCAAAGCTGCTTTACCTGCCTTGAAGCGATCCGTCTGTACCGAGCTTTGCCATTGCAAAGAAATGAGGGGGGGGAGGCTGCGCATTTTCTCCTTGGCTTGGATCTGGTGGAGCTGAGATCGCCAAAGTCGGGCCGAACTGATATGAGTATCCAGATTCGCGTAAATGCGTGCCAAGGCAGAAGCTATGGCATGTCTGAAGGTACTTGTTTACCTGTAGCATGAAGATACAAGATATAATACCGACGCAACGCCGTCAGGAACCCGGGCAACAGTGTAAGCAAAGAAACATATAGGAAAGAATAAGTTTCACCTGTTTTGCACCTTCCAGACGAAACCCATCGAATGTATCTTGACCGGAGATGTTCATCCACTCCCGAGAAAACTGCTCGAATGGGATTGGCTGTGTGAGCCTGCAGGACGCACCGCGTATGAAGAAAACACTCTAGAGGCAGCTTGCAACCAACGTACTCTGAAGCCCAGAATAATGGAATATGCTAGATGGTGTATGCACAAAGAAGGGCGAAACACGGTAATAGATACATGCAAGGATGCAAACTTGCAACTTCCACACTCCTCGAATTTCCCCCAACTCCACAGTCTGCTGAAGTGTCGTGTTCACTGAGGGAACTGGTATACAAGAAGATTCGTCTGACTGTGGTTTCTTTGCAGGCTCTGGAACCTCCTCATTCTCCCTCGCCACTGCAGCTTGTAGCGCTTTGCTCCGCATGTCCACTGCGTTCGAGTCGTCGCTTGCTGGAGCCGGCGACTCCTTGGAGCCAAAGAAGCTCAAGGCAGGGACACCCAAAAATCCAGTGCCCTTCTCCGAGCAGCGAGCAGCTGAAGGACAGTCATTACTTCTGAAGGGAACTGCCGAACTGCACGACGAGCGAGCATCGAAGGCCGACTCTCCCCGGCGTTGGCGGCGGCCTGAAGAAGAGTGACCCCCGCATCGTAAGAAAGCAAAGAAGGGCATTATCGACAGGGGAGAGGGCGACGAATTGTATCTTCTGACAAATATGCATCTTCTTCTACAAAGCCTATGCCCTCCATCAGCCCCAAGACAGGTGGGGCGGTCGATGGGGCCCTCGCTGCATGCACTGAAATACTGAGATAATAGTGCTCGAAGGCACGTTATAATAATTGTTATATACTCTCTATATGATACTCTATAAGAATTCTTTAGATGCCCTCGTATCATGCAATTCTGGGTAGGGATGCTAGACGCCTTCCAGTGGAATCTCTGCGCAACGTTGCTCGTGTTTTGTGCAGTGTGCTCCAGTATACTATTTCTCAAAATATGAGAAACGTCTTTAAAAGCCTTATATGAACGTAGAGTGAGTGAGGCGAGCATAATTTGGCTTAAGGCTCTTGCACAGTGTAACCAACATGTGTATGCTAGGGGGCCTGGGGGGCCTGTACACGAGAAGCGCAAGCATCTGTAGGTTCTCGCTTGTCTATGAAAATCGTTTTCCACGTAGCGTCCGTCCCTTTCTTATTCTTAGAGGCGTGATTAGGTAGCCCGGACCTCATCAACTGGTGCAGATGTGGTGGTCTGCCTCGCAGTGCTCTGGGGACCCATTCTCTGGCTGACTAGACCATTACTTGGACGCAAACAAGTTTTGACTTAAATGGAACTCAATTACTTCAGCTACCAATTTGTTGTGTGACACTTATCTTTCTAGTTCCTGTAGCTCTCCTCACTGTGTCCAAGAGCGCTGTGTTTGCACACTCCATGCGATGCCCTGTGTAGAATATTGACAGTTTGAATATTGACAGATTGTGTTTAGGGTTGGCAAATAAGTTGCCTACTAATGCCGTCCAAACAATCGCTCGGCATTCATAGCCGGCTGGTGCACAGGGGGAACTCTTCAACAATTGTTAATAGTGCTCGAGCATGTAGCCAAGAAGGCCTGTTCGTGTAATCATGCGTGGGTCTCATGCACCTTCAGTGGTAAGGTGCGGTGCACCTCACGTCAGGCCGCGTATAGCACTGAACCAGGCGCTCAGGTCACTGCTGTCAAGACGCTTGGATGGTGTGGATGGGGGCGAGGCAGTCTTGAGAAACTAAAGGATTCCGACGCAACTGCAACTCGCCGCAGACCCTGCATCAGGCATGGCCTCGCTTACACGGGCCTAATGCCCTTCGCACCAGCCCCTCTGTAGTTGAAAGTAAGGCTCCGGGAGAGTGGAGGCCAGATGATGTGTTTGGGTGGAACTCGACTCTCCAGCATATCGACTCTTCCATGCCTAACAACTGTCATCAAGCATTGTCGTAGAGTTGCACCGAATGGTGCAACGGAACATCTGATGCACGTGTCCAGTCAGCTTTTGATGATTTCATTGCCACCATTTACAATCGCAAAAAAAAACTACCTTGTACCTTGTTTTTCAGTAACCCACCAGCAACCAAGCATGCAACTTGGAGTACACCTACCAGCCGTTGCCAGACAGTTCGGCAGCTACGTGCGCAATGCTCACCTCACTTTGAAAGACCGTGTGAATAATCCTACTAGAGTCCAACAAATTAATTGGTACTTATTAGGATGAAAGCATTTTGAAGGTGGATTTCTACTTTACACTCGGCTGTACCTGCCAATCAGCATGCCACCACCGTACGCGGTACCGCTACAGGCTGCGGGGCTGTTGGCTTAAGCGGCACACGCACCGGCCTGAGAGTGGAACGGTACTCGGGCAGCTTTCAACGCAGTTATTGGCAGATGAAGGCTATTTTGGAAATTGTGAAATAGTAGGAAAGTTGTTATGCAGCAGAGGCGCACGCGTTTGTGTGAAAGCAGCCCGCCGGGCGCTTCCTGCACTATAGCGGGCTCTTGCGCTTGCGCGTGGGCTGGCAGCACTTAGTGTGCAGGGATTGAAGGGCATTCTTTAGGAGCTGTTGATTAGGTTTTGGGTTGCTGACACGATTTCTAGGCCGCACGTAAAGATAGCTGCACGTAATACTTGTTAAGCTGATGAGGGATGCTTTCAGGGGCTGGGGCAGGAACCGCGGTGGCGGAGGGTGGCGGGGAGGCCAGCGGGCAGCCGTTGCCGATGCGCATCATCAGCAGCAGTGGAAGAGTGGCCCTGGGTTAGTCTCCGGGCCAGACACTCGCCACTTCAACCCCCGAGAGCCCCGGGCTCGTCCAGAGAGGGAGGCAGAGCCGCCTCACGGGTCGGTGCTGCCCCCCCACTCTCCCGCGCCGCACAGGCGCCGCCAGCAAGGTCAGGGCCTCCGTAAAGAGCGCACTGCTCCTTACGAGCCACGAGCCGTGCTGGGACAAGGCCCACATGGGGCCTCCCCGGTTGCAGCCGGGGGAGGAGGGCAAATTGTTGTGGGAGGGAGGGGGAGGGTTGAAGAGGATGCCGCACCGGGGGGAGTGCCGGGGCAGTTGCCCTGCTCGACTCCCGTGCAGACCTGTATGCCTCCTCCCACAGTTTGCTGCAGCATCTATGCAGATCAGCTCATTGACTACTACACGGGCAAGATTTGCCCTAGGCGTTTTTGCGTAGCTTACAAAGAAGTGTGTAAGCTTGTTAGGTTGCCTGAGGCGACACCAGCACCTGCAGGGTCAGGGTTGCAACATCTTCCCCCTGCGGGAGTTTTAGGCGTTGCAAGGGGTGACGAAGGGGTTCAAGAGACGCAGATGCCCAATGGGCAGCAGAGAACTCAAGCAGCGGCACTTGACGCAGACGAAATGAGTGAAGTATCCCAGGTTGAAGAGGGGGAGGTGGACGAGGAGGCCCCGGTGGTTCATTCGACTCGGCACACCTCGCAAGAAGGCCAGCAGAAGCGCAGCGCAGGTGTTGTTAACCAGCTGCAGGGGGATGCTGTCGAGAACGGCCCTTCTGCTGTCAAAGGTCCTGCTGCCGTTAGTGGCTCTGCCGCTGCTCGGCAACACCAGGCTGGTTTAGAAAGCTCGCATATGCAAAGTCAGGGTGTGGCGGCGCATGCGCCGAGCTTGCAGCAGCAGCAACAACCAGTGGCAGCACCCAATACCACAAGAAGGGACCCCAGATTAGCCGCAAGGGCACGTGCTGAAACGGGCGTGCAGCAGCAGCAAGAGGTAGTGCAGCAAGTAAAGCAACCAGAAACTTCAGAGCCGCAACAACAGCCTCAGCAGGGAGCGCAAGACCAGCAACAGCAGCAACAGCCAACGCAGTGGGACCCGAATGCATTGCCTCCAGAGCTGCGTCGGCAGCCGTTACTGTCAGGAAAGCTGCCGTTGCTGTTAGATTTAGACAATACACTGCTGCATGCACAAGCCGTTGGGGTGGCAGGGTACACAATAGCTTTGGAAGATTGGCTTGATGAGGATGGTTTGCCGGAATTGTATAAGTTTGAACTGCCCTGCAACCGCAAGGTCTATTACCTGAAGTTGCGCCCAGGGCTGCGCCGATTCCTTAGGGCACTTGCTCCCGTTTTCGAGTTAAGCATTTACACAAACGCGACGCAGGAGTATGCGGACCTCGTGGTGGCCATTTTGGACCCCGACAGATCTCTTTTCGGCGACCGGTAGGCTGTGGTGTTGTAGTGGTAGTTGACTGCTGTTGCTGCTGCCTTTGATCATGCTGTTCGTTCTGTGCGGCCAGGAATGCAATTGAAATTAAGACACAGCCGCAGACTTTGTTGTAGTGCTCAATCCAGCTTGTTCACTAGCTCTCTGCGTTAATCACTTTCCTCCGCACCGCCCCGGATCAAGTTGCGTTGTAGTGGGTTGTTGTGCGTTGGCTTAACATGAACTAATACGTGGCTTGCATGGGGTAGGAGCAGCTGGAGTGGCAATTGCATATGTTGGGGAGAGTTTCGGCCCTCCTGTTGCATGGACGGCCGAGGGATCATCGGCGCGTAGCTCCCCAAAATAAGCGCATGCAGTGCCCTTGCTTGCTTGCGATGAAGGGGACATACAGTAGTGCTGTAGCAGCTATAGTGCAGTGCTTGTTCGCTGCGAAGATGACAGCCTTCGCCACGGGTCATTCGTCCAGAGCAGGCTGGCGCTATGGTTTGATATTGCACTTGTGTTCTGCGGCTAGTGGCCGGGGGAAAGGTTTTTCAAGCGCCGCGCAGGTTGTTGACGTTCGTCAGTTGCTCTCGTCCTGTGCCCCGTGTGGAAATGCTTCTATTAAAGAAGGAAAAGGGGGCAAGGGGGGGAAGAAGAGCACGGGGAAGGCAGGCAAGCTGCAGGCTCGACACAGCGTATGACAGCGACTATGTGGATGCGATTCATCGAAGAGGATGCTGGCTTGCTTGCACGAGCGTAGCTTAACCGTGGCTGTTGCCGTTAGTTGCAGCAACATAGTTGTGCAACACGGTAACGACTTAATCTAACCCTGCTCGATGAAAAGTTGTTCAGCAAAAGCAAGGCTTCAGGACACTCGTGCGATTCTGCACGCAGATGATCAGCAATCAAAGCAGCCAACAGATCCTGTTGCTGCTGGACGGCTTTGCCACAGATGTTGCCGTTCCACGGCTCGCTATGTCGTACTCCACAGGGTGGTAAATGAATCAAGTGACACGTGACTCGCGAGGGCGTTCGCGTACACTGGGAAGCAGGAGGCATCGACTTGTTAAGAGAATGGCAGTGCGGCTTAAAGGAAGCATGTACTGTCCAGTGCATACATTTGTTTTGGTAACGGCTATGTCCCTCTAGCAGTCGTTACTGGATCTTACCGGCGTGTCAGCCTGCCAAGTGAGGCAAGGCAAGATGCGGCAAGTTTGGCGGAGGTGGTACTATCAGCTGCAAACAGGAACAGACAAGCTGATACTATCTGCGGTCAACCCATCGAATGACGGGGCTGGCGGTTTAGGGCTGGTGATGCACAGTTGAGGGATCAGAACGGCGTGGGGTTTCCGACGGCGTGTGCGCAAGGATTTGGCTGCAGCTCCTTCATGTTGAGTACATTACTATCCAACTGGGGGGCTCTGAATCAAGCAACAGCAGATGGGAAAGGTTCATTCTCGAGGGAGTGCAAGCTATACTTCGGCAGCAACATATGATGCGGCGGCGTTTTACATATAGCTTTGTTTGAGATATGCATGTGTATTTGATGGAGACGCTTTAGTCCTTTAGAGCAACGGATGGCACTTCGAGGCACTGTGTACATATGAAGATGGGTTCACTTAGTCTGTTTAGCACGTAGCCTCGTTGTTCCCATCAGCGACGGAAGTGGAGTAGTTTCGCTGCGTATGGGGGAGCTGCTGCTTATTCTGGTTGGAATCACTGTTGAGCAAAGAGCAGAGATCGCTGTAGCGTGCTTTTCTGCGTGCCCTCGTGGGATCGTGCATTGGGGGGCAAGCTGACTGCTGTTTGGGGATGGCTGTTGCGGCGTATGTACGGGGGGGGCTTGTAATGGTGCAATGTGGGCTGCTCTTCGTTGGCTCATGATGCACAGACACACGGGCGAATTCGAGGGTGTGAGCGTAGCTGACATTACACTTGCTTGTGGGTGCGTTTGTTGCAGCATTGTTGCGCGCGAGTCGTCGGGAAGGGGCGAGCAGACGGAAAACAAAACTGTGCGGTGTCTTTATGGGGACCTAGACCGCCGTTGCGTGGTGGCGTTTGATGACCGTCAGAACATCTGGACTGATCTTCCGGTGTCGCACGTGGTGAAGGCGCAGCACTACGATTTCTTTGATTCGTCGAGGCCTGAACTATTAGCCCACTACCCCCCCCTGCCGTTAGAGGAGACTTTAGCTGCAATAGCTGAAAACCCTCGACAACGGGCTACTGCATTAGAACGCCCTTCGCCGGTGCCCGCTGCTGCCGTGAATCATTTATCTAGACCTTACGACTGGGATAGGCACATGCAGCACATGATAAATATCTTTTTAAAGGTCCACCAGGAGTTCTTCAAAGACCCTTGGAACGCAAAGTGAGAAAAGACAGCTTTTTGCAGCGGAGTTGCTGCCATATCTGTGGTTAGACGACAGGTATTTTCATTTACGCACTTTTGCCTGGTACTGCGTGCTCGAAGTGTACGGGTACCAACCCGTCTGGCCAAGGTTACGAGCAGAAGATCGAATCTGTATGCGGAGCATCAGGCGCGTCTGTTTGGTGCTTCTGTCATTTGCTTCTGTGGTAATGGCGCCCTGCCTGATTTGGGAGTTTTTGTTGTGTTCGTGGTGCGATGACCTGTGAATCTCAGCGTGGGAACAATTATAAGCGGGTTTCAGTCGCAAGCGTTGGCCGGTGTAGGCTTGTTCCTTACTGGATACAGGAAGTCATTTGCACCGGGCAGCCCTGTAGCTGATTGTGAGGAAAGACAAGCAGAACTGGCTCAACGCCTCGGCGCTACAGTGTATAGACGTTTCGACGAGCCAGGCGTGACACACGTCATGGCAGGGAAAAGCAACACAAATAATATGCTTGCTCTCAAGTGGGTTCGAAAAAGCATTTGCCTCATTATTCTTACGCGATGTATCGTTGTGATTAAGGCTTTTGCATAGGTGAAGCGCTCAGAAGTTTTGTGCAATGCGCTCACTAAAGGTCCTGCTTCTGTGCATGTTGCGCTGGTAGGGAGAGGTCTTTTCAGCACTTGAAAAAGGTGCACACATTGTGGCTGTTCGCCTGCGAGTCAATATGGGCAAAGGCACCCGAAGCGTGTTTTGATGCTGATTCACTGTGCGCTTTGTACGACAACCAGCCACCGTGTGCGCCATTCAAGGATCACTGGATGCATTTGGCTGAGTTCTCTCCCCCGCACGCTGTGACCCCTGCGCAGCCTTTGCCCCAGCAGGATAGACTGCCAGTAAGAGAATTCCTCGGGACAGGCCCGTACAGCGATGGAGCCAGTCTTATCTCGCCGTTCGAAGAAACCATATTTCTGTGGAGGCCAGAGAAGCAGCCCATTCGGCAACTTTACTCAAAGGCCACCACCACCACGCAGCACATCATCCCACCGACGCTGTCAACCGGCACATCGCATCAACAGCAGTTATTGCCCCCTCGACCTGAGGAGCAAAAAAGTGGTCAGGGACGTGAGGATATGGTGGCTTCGCGGAACGACCGGCAGGAGGCGGAAGTAGTGCCCTTCTGCAATTTCCAGGTCTATGCCGTGTAAACGAGCCTCGTCACCCCATTGCATGTTAGAGGGGAGCGTTAAGTTGCTTAATGTGCGTCACAAGGGGCGCCTTCGACAACAATTAGGGCTGAGTTACGGCTCTGCAGATGTTCACTTCCATCGTGCATCGAACCTTTTGGCAGTTGGGGGAGTTGTCTCATACGGGTTAATGAGTCAGGATACAGAGCAAGCGCTTCTTGGTGGCTCCTAAACAGCGCCACCTGCCACGTGACAAGCTCTCATGAAACAAGAAGGGCAAGGGATGTGGTGTTAACTATATGTGCCCGTCATATATGCTGCCTATGGTACAGTTCTCACAGCGAACTGGAAGACTCTCGCGCACGAGTCTTCGTGCGCTGGTGGTACTTATGTACATACATATATAATATATAGAGTATATATTATATGTATGTTTTCTGCCTGCATCGGCACCGCCGGAAGGCTTTATGTATCAGGAGGATGTTACAGCAGCGCCCCACAGCCGTTGGGCCCAGTGGGGGCATGGAGATGAGAGTGAGGGGAAGCAGGGGAGGCAGTTCGATGTTGTTTCGGTATCTTGGCTTGATATACTATTATGAGCCACGTTGTAAATAGCTAGGATTTTGCTGGGATTTAGCAGTCAGGCCAGTTTCATACACGGTGGTCCTGCACCGGTCGTCCCTTGTAGGCACAGATAAAGGGAGCAATGTGTGAGCATGAGGGGTTGGCTCAACCCATGGATTTGCACGTCAAAAAAGATACGAAATTCCGGGTGAATAATATCCGATAAAATATAGAACGCGCTTGCTCCCTGACCCCCTTCGACATGCCGGTGTTGGCTCGCGCGCGGTAGGGCAGAGTCGAGGGGTACGGTGATTGACCATGGGTGGGGTGGAGCTAAGGAGCAAAACCATCCTGTGGTTCTTTTAAGCGACTTCAGTTAAGGGTTTAAGACGGGCTATTAAATGGAACGGAAAGTACAAGAAAGACGTATTTTGAGGGGTCTCTTCGTTCTTACGCAGTCCTGCCGACTGGCTTCGTAGGGTCAACCCGTTTGAGGGCTCGTTCGTTGCTCACAGCACACCGGACCCTATTGGCTTAGCGTGTTTTGTAATTAAAATTAGAACTGTTCTTTTTAAGACAATAGTCAATACTCCTCTAGGTAGGGCTACAGCAGCAATCCCAGTGGTGGGAACCACCCTTCACTGGCTGCTGCACGCGATACTTTTATGGTGGTGGCGCTTCGACGCCGCATGAGGCGGGGTTTATTTAGACTTATGTTAAATGGCAGCAAACAAGAAATACTTTATAGAACGATTTACAGTAAATATGGGATAACTGCGCGGCGGTTCTGTGGGTAGTTTCCGCCGAAACGCCCCTTGTACCACTTGTGAGTCTGCACTCCCCGGCGACCGAGGAAGAGCAGGGTAAAAATGGCGAAGGAAAAGGCAACTGCTGAGTTGCACATTATGGCGTAGCCAAACCATTCGCATATTTCTCCCCAGTAGTTAGCACAGGAAACCTGCTGAAACCAACCCGCACGAGGGATCTTATATGCAGTCAACCCGGCGCCGTGGGGATGCGCGCTGTATTTGAACGTGACAAAATTGTCTCCATCTTTTTTAGCTGCAATACGCGACGACCTCCTGAGAGTAACCAGGCCTTCCTGGTTTGGTGGAGGAACGGAGGAGGCCTGCGGCACAGCAGCGTCGTGCGCCCGTATTGTCTTCAACTGTAACAAGTGTTCATCGGCGTAGATGTTCACAACCATCCCGTAGATAAAGACTAACAGCCCGAGGACAAAACGAAATAGCGCCATAATGTCCCATATACTTGTTTTGTGCAGCGCTTCGAGCTCTCCTTCCATGGGTGCGCAGTATGGGACAAGATACCACCAGCCCCTCATTTCCCTTGAGTAGTTGAAATAACACCCGCTGAGACCCTGAGCTAGCCCGTTAGCGAAGCAGAACATAAATGCAGAGAGAGGCAGTAACAGAGGCACTGTATCTCGTCGTCGAGACTCGGGTAAACGGTAGTGCCTGAGGGAGTAGATGAAAACCCTGTGTACGTAGTGTAGGGTGAAGGCCATGACAGTAATCATATTAAAAGGTTTTCCTGCAAGAACAACGTATCCGAAACTTCATGCGTTTTAGCAGCGATGCCCAGCAATCAATATTATGTTTTCTTGCACCGCAATTCCTTTTTGAGTCTGCACCTCACGGAGTCTTTCTATATAGCTCTTATCTAGGCACTAAGTAGCTTAAAAAAACGATTGAGAGAATTTGAATTATCAGTGGGAACGCACCATGACAGAACTGCGACCATAGAAGCAAAGCAGCTGGGAGGAGTGCAGACGGTAACTCTTGAAACATCCACGCCGCCCAGCTTGGCACCAGGGGCCCCCAAAAGGGTTTAGCACGACTCCTGAATTTTCCCCACGGGAGTCTGAGGAATTGAGGAGAGGGCAGTACAAGAGGAAAGTCTAGTAGGAATGGAAGACTACTGTCCAGTGGTACTCCTAGCTGTCGATTGCAACCCGGGCTGTGATTGCATCATCTGGGCATTCTGTTAAATATCTTACGGGTTTTCTGCTGAAAACAAGTTGATTAGGACGCCCAAAGCAATCTGGCAGAAGGCAACTCCCAGAACCAGCGTACTCCAGAGGTTGGCCTCGTCCCTTTGAATACCGAGTGGGAGGGCTGGGAGGGCCCAGGACGGTTGTTTCCCCATAATAGATGTTCCTCCACCCAGAAGAGCAAACGAAAAGATGAAATGAAGAAGTGAAACTGCTCCTCGAAGAAAACAAAGCAGAGTCGCTGGCAACGGGTGATGTATATGCAGATGGAGTGTGGGTAGTGGACACGGGCCTTCACGCTCAGTGAACTCTACAGGTCTTGAATGAATACAAAGTAGAAACCTTTACACAATTCAGTCCTGCAGTGCTTGAACAACTCGTTTTCTTGTGCAGATAAATTGGGCTCATGCAAACGGTCCACCGAAGTTAAAACCCGCGCCGGCACACCCGACACCGAATCCTGTAGCAACGGGCTGTTGTACCCTAAAAACCAACGATTTTCCACATTCAATTCGAATTAAATTGACGTGTAGGGCGAGAAATTGCCCACTGATTGACAAATTTACAGCTTGGGGTGCGTCTAACTCTTCGTCTAACAGCTAGGCGACCGCTGGCCCCGTTCCAGTACGGTTTCAGGACAGCATGTGAAGTTGCACCAAAAGTACTTGACGACTTGCATTTCTGTTAAAGCTAACTTGAACTCGCATTTTTGAACGAAGATCACTCGAATGCTGTTACATCTTTGCAGCCGCCCCCTTCAATTTCACAGTTCAGTGAAGATGTTGCGCACTACATGATCTTCAACGTTAGAATTTTATGTAGGGCATATCTTTGCATGCATCGAATACAAAACGGCTGAAGCAGAAACATCACTACCGAGCTCCTGCTTTAGTCTCAACAGCAACCACCACGTTACCCAAGTGACCCTGGCGGCGCTTGCGCATTTGCAGCAAACTAACGGCTTAAGGCGTTATATTTATAACGCGAAAGCACTTACTATACTAAGAAACCAGATTTGGACACGCATTAGGCACCCATGCACCGTCCTAGCTTTTGTGTTCCACCGGCTTTCACTCCCGTTGATTGCACACGGCCGGCGAATCAGCAGCAGGTGCGCCTTCGCAAAAACATGCACTCGAAACCATTGAGTTTCTCCTTTCTTTGGAGCATAAATATGGGGGAGTAGGGGAAATAAAGTTTCACCATCCTATTAGCTGTAGCATTTTGCACAATCGTGCAGGCGGCGAATGGTGCGCACCGCCAATAAGTGCCATTGCGTTCTCGGGCACGGCAAGTAGAATACTTTGTTGTAAGCTGGCTTCTTTCTGGCTTGCAGTAATTCGGTGTTTCATGGACTTGGGCGTACTGTGTGGACTGCTGCTGTACTGACTGACTTCAGCCCACAGTTATGGATCAGCATTGTTTAATAGACTCAGCCTGAAGTGGAAACTTGAAAGAACTGTGTGCGCTGGAAGCCTGTCATGCTCATCCTTAAAGCACACGCTCGGTCGTTGAGAACACTGCGTCTGCACATCAACAGTCCCTGTAAGCATCTTCGACTAGGGGTCAAGTATAGGCTTAGTTGGTTACGAGCACTTGTCGCCGCCTCTTTTAACCCACCTCCTAGGAAGCATGAGCAGTGACGTTACTACTTAATTTTCAAATGCGTTTTTTCGCGCTGGCGAGAGCAGGTTCAAACCATGCGGAAAGCAGCTTGTAAGCAGAAAATGCTCAGCCTCAGAGGCACCTTGAACTCTTCCCACTTTAACTCACTGTTTAGCTTAAGAGTATGACAGACGAGCACAGATGCCTAGAGACGTACCCTTCAAGGTCTTGGACGAACAATAAACAAATTAACACACGAAAGGTGCCTCAGAAATAGCTCCAATACTAAAACTTGAGGAAGATGCTTCAACCGCTCTTGCGTTGTTTCTCTTCCACTCCACTCCATACCGAGCATCTGTCTGCAACTCTTCCACTCTGACAACTGACCCCTAGCTTCATTGTGGAGACCCCTAATATACACCCCTAAACAGCACTAGGAGCAAATAATACACAGGCTGCATCCCTCCGCACTGCCTCGAAGGTTTGGAAGTAAAGGCGTTACAAGGTATCCGTTAGTCTTGCATTCATCCTCCCTCTCCCCCTTTACATTTGAAGTTAATCTTTCCCTTCCCAGCCGCAAAGGCCAAAGGTAGCTAAAAACTCCAGCGTCCTGCTCCGTGCGCCGTCTGGCGCAGAAAGACGCTGCTGTACATGTATAGCATATATAACGTGCATACAGATAGATGCATACGAGCAGGCAACACAACAGGTATGCAAATGCAATATTGCGGATAAAATACATAAGGGCAGTGAGTGAGCGGTGTGTGAGCTCTTGTGACAAGCAGTTTTGGGGTGTTCTGCAGTGGAACTGAACAACACCCCAACTGTGCATATATATACACTATATATTATATGTATGTCGAGGATAAGCTTGAGGTGCAGGCATTTAGGCAGTTCTATCCTCTATTGTTCTGTATGTCTTCGTGCTTATGACCCGCCGTAGTAGTAGTACTTTGCAAGGTACAGCAGCGGCAGGAAGCAAGCCTGCGGGGGCAGCTTTAGCAGCACCAATGCAGCGGTATCCCGGAGGCTGTTCTCCCGCTGGTGTTTGCGTGGTGCTACCTTTTCTGTATGAGTTTCTGCTTTGCTCCGTCTTTCCTGCGTGGCATGCGAGAAGTAGCAGCAGCACCAGGCCCCAAAGAGCGCGCCTGCCAATACCCAGGGCAAGACGACGTCCAGGTCCGGGGAGGAGGAGTAGAATCGATCAGTGCCGTATTTGATGCTTACCAACAACTCCACCGTTAAAATCATGACAAATAAAAACACATTACCCCCCATTCGATCGTATCTAAACTGGAGCTGCGCATAAAATTCAGCAACAGCAGGAAATGCCAGCAGCCCCAAGAGCCCGAGACGCGTCGGGTTGATCCAGTGTACTGCGGGAATGTCTAAGACGGTCATGAGCAGAAAAACGCTGACTTCTGCAAGTAGAGAAAGGAATAAAAGCAGACTCGTCATCAGCAAGTGGCGAGGTGTGCGAAAGAAAGACCATTCATATTCACAACTCGAGAACGGGGTGAACTTCAACATGATCTTCTGGTATCGCGGATAAGCCCCCAGCCAGTCAAAGTGCCGCTTGCCGCACCAACGCATCACAGCACAACCAACCACCATCCCCATTAGATTCGAAAATATCGCATCAATAAATATGCTGTCCCACCAACACTCCTGAAACTCCGGAATTAACCACTGCAGCGACATCTCGCAAAATTCAAACAGAATTGAAAACGTCAAATTGAACATCCAGCTGCGAAATATGCACATTTTCAAAAACCACCCTACCGCGTGGCTTATGAACCAAACCGATGTCAGCTGTCGAGTCAGCGTGTTCATGCTCACAGAACAGTCTAGCACGAGGGTTCCTGAAAACACATTTCCCTTCCTGGACCCAAAGCCAGGCAGCAACATGCGCACGAGAAAACGCCCGTCGTCGCGGTGCACTGACAGCAGCGCCACCAAACAAAGGAAGTATGTCAAGCACAATCCGTGGATCACTCTCCAGAAACCAGGATGCGGTCGGACTAACAACCCATCTCGGCTCTCTAGAAAGCAGTATCCCATGATTGCCACCGCCAGACATCCTATTACCTGAACCGCGCGGAACCTGAGCTCGTGTTGCCGCTCTTCACTGAAGTCCTCAAATGACGCTTGGAAAAAACGATAATTTTCACCATCTCTCCACAGCCAGCTCGGCCCGCAAGCGAAAACCACTACCAGCGCTAGCACCACGGCACTCGACAAGACTTGCTGCGGCTTCTCCTGAATGCTGTAATCAATCGAAACTCTAAATTTTTCCGGAAACTCCTCCGCATGCTTGCAATAAACCGAATTGGCGTAATCATCCGGCAGCCGCCCTGATGATGTAGTGGAAGACGAGGGATGAAACGCTTCTTTAGAGCTGTCGCCATCGGATGTAGAGTTTGCAGATATACCATTGCGGGTCTCCGAATTCGAAGAGGGTGTTTTCCGCCGCCTCAGCTGTTGTTGTTGTTGTTGCTGCTGCTGCAATATCTTTTCCTCCTCAGTGAGCTCCTGCTCCTTGGCGCGCTGCATTGGTCTCGCCGGCAGGACCCGAGGAGCCGAGGCAAGCCGACGCCCTCCAATGAGAGCCTCCTTATGAGAATAAGGCGAGGAACAGCGTTGCTGTTGCTAGTGATACTACTGCCGCATGCCGGATTTCAGCTGCACAATTGTCCGGCGGTACCGCCTGGTGTACTTACATGCTTTTCTCCAAAAACTTTCACGGCAAAGCAATTGTAAAGAAACCTTCAGGCAATATAAACTCTAAATGACGCAAATTTGCACTTTTCTTGAGTAATCGCTCTCGTTTTTGTGTGGATTGAAGCTCAATGGCAGCCACAGTGATGATGCCTTGAACGCATGCGGCTGGCTGTCAAGGCACCGCGAAAACCATGTAAACTTAGGGCAACATTCTTAGGTATTTCCAAAAATTATTGAAATGAAAAATGTATCTCTTCCGAGGCATGTCTATGTAGCTGTCGGCGGGGGTTTCTCAAGTCGTTCGTCGTGCATCCAGCAGTGCTGCAGCTGTATGGAGCAGCGGGGTTTTCTTTGTTTCTACAGAGGATGTCATGCTAGGTGCCTACATTTCATCGAAATTATTGTAATTGTAGCAAATATTGCTTCCATAGATTTATGTCGTATTCATATCAAAGCCTGTTTGTCAACAGAGTTTTTCCCCGCCCCTTTTTAGTGCCTTACTGGACAGCAGCTTGTCTACAGCAAAAACGCGTTTTATTGCAGTGAAAAAGTCATTTCGCAGAATCTGCAGCCAAGGTGCATCTTAGGAAAGCATTCCCATGGAAGTGCCACGTCAGCTCCATTGTGTTCCTTTCGCCCTATCACTCAGTGCCTCCCCCCGCCTGTGTTTATTTTTTGCTCTCCGCTAGTCGTATTAACACCGCCTCTGGGGCAGAACAAACTGAAGCGTAAGGTTCCACTAGCTGTTCACGTACATATGCCCATCCACCAACATCTTCAAAAAAATACATAAGTAGATTGCATGCAAGGCTTAAGTATAACTGAGGAGATATGATTCGCTCCGCCGCCCCTCCGCTGGACATACAGAAAGGGGTGACGAAGACGGACAGCCCACTATCGCAAACAACCAGGCAGCCAAACAAACCCTGCATCACTTGTGTGCAGTTCTGCGGAGTCTGCACAGCCAGGAGCTTCCTGATCTCCACACAGCGGCAGAAGTCACAGCTACACACACCTGACAGCTGCGCTGATGTCAGTGGCCTAAATAACGAAGCACGTACGTTGCACGAAGTTTTTGATTAGCAGGTGAACTGGAGATGGCCGCCACTGTGGAACAAGCGAGGAGCGTGGCCCCATTAACACACAGCTCAGTTGCCTACCGGCGGCAAAGTCAAATATTACGGCTAGCACGTATGCGGACGCCTCATTCTTTACTTGAGTAGTTGCAGTTTGATTCACTTCCCTGTTCAGCTGCTGCTACTGCCGCTGCTGCTGATGGCGCTGGGTGTTATGGCCCCCCCTTGGCAAACTTCTGCACCGCGATAATCTTTTAAGGATCAACGGAACAGGGAAGCCCCCTAGTAGCTTGGGAGGCACAACGCCATCAGTACCCCGCTTTTCAACATATAGTTACATCTGGTGAAACTGCTACACAGTAGCTGCTGCTGTCCAACAGCAGCAGGTAGTAGGCTAAATAGTTAGAAGCTTTCTCTAGACCGCAGAAGAACTCGTCTTTGCAGGATTGGCGAAACGCTTCCTGTTGCTGGCGTGTGAATAATCGGGCTGGATACTTTTCTTCTAGTTCGACCTGTTTGTTATCACTTGCTGCTGTTTTTGTTCTTTCCGTCTACTCCTGCTACAGCCTGCTCAAGTGCCTTGAATAACCTCCGTCCTCCTCGATCTGCTCCCAAATGCTGCTGGAGGCTTCCGAGGAAGGCAGCTTGAGGGCCCCCAGGCCAGCACCACGCTTAGCAGTCCGCTGGTCACTGCCTGGGCGCTGTTCGCAGCCGCTGTTGCTGCAGCAGGTGGTGCAGCTGCTGACACTGTTGCTGTGTTTGAGAGTGTCGCGCGGGCTGCAGCAGCAGCTGCACTCTCCTACTTCCATGGTTTTCTGTTGCAGCGCCTGCTGATGCTGCCTCAAGATCAATGGCGTGCGGTCGTTGGCCCCGTCGTCTGACAAACAACGAAACCCTAGGCCATCCCTCTTACGCTCCGCTGCTACAGCACGATCCTCGTCTGCTGCGTATGTGGTGGAGGCAGCCCATAGAGCCGCGGCACTCAGAAGCCACAAGCTGAACAGCAAAGTAAAAGGGCAAGCATTCTACGCATTCTACGTCCACCTACTGCACTCGAGAGGATGTATGGCATAAAGATGCACACAACGCATGCATGTGCCACACCTCGTAACACATAAAACAAACAGTAACAAACACCATGGGATAGAAAATTCATGCATCACTAAAAGAACCTCAGCAAATTCGCAACGTGCAGCTTCCTGCAGATGCTACACACCAAATACTGATAGGACAAATATAAATGCAACACAGAAAATTCGCAACGTGCAGCTTCCTGCAGATGCTAAACACCAAATACTGATAGGACAAATATAAATGCAACAAATGCAAGCAAAACGAGTACAAATAAGCCATACAAGTACTCCAAACACATATGCAACGATCCCCGCGCAACCCATGTGGAGCATTTGTTGGCCTGCGGTGCAGCAAAGAAGGGTCTGCGCAATGCTGCGATGTACGTACCTCATGGAGAGCTGGAAAGCCAGAGCCCTCGACCCCACGAAGGCGGCTAAGACCGAAGCCACAACGGTTCCTAGCGCCTTTGATATGTCATCCAGAACGGTATAAATAGCACAGATCGTTCCTCGCACCTGCATAAACAATCGCATCCGGCCCAGAGTATTTCCAAATACAGCAAGGACAGCAAGAAGCAGGGAAAAAGCAGAAAATGACCAGCTCGATGTACAGAAAACAAAGGGGGCCGCAGAAACACGCAAGCGTAGCGGAACAGAAAACACCACAACAGAAAGTATAAAGGGAGGCACATCCAGACTGATAGTAAACAACCAACCCAATCGTAGACAGACGAGCAACCTCACAAGAAGAAGTACTGACAAACGACAGCACCACCAGGATGGAGGCAGGAAGAAACACAAGCCAGCCAACGGCAGCAAGGGAAGCAATAAGGCAAGAAATAAAGAAGCACCTCGGCTGTGTTTACGTTGAGTAATACAGCCCCTATATTCGCTGTAGGCAAAGTCGAGCCAAAGGCAGCCCCCAACAGAAGCGCGAGGAGGCCCAGCAGGGCGGGGCCCTGGGGAGCTCTCCCTACTACAGCAGGGAATGCGAATATCATCACACAGGGAATGCACCTGCTCAAACAAATAAGAAAAAAACAAATACGTGCATGAACGCTGTGGAAACAAACCAAGAGAACATGGTGCACTGCAGAAAAAGGAACGGATATTCATATTCATATGAATATGACTATGCGTATGAAGAAGGAAAAGTAAAAGTGCCACAGACCCTCGAAGAAGCGAACACGGAGGCAGAGAATACGGTAGCAGAGAAAGGCGGAAAACAGAGCAAATGTCTGCTTGCAGCGAACAACTATTGCTTGCATATCCTTAAATGTGCATGAAAAACAGACGGAATGCGAAAGCAGTAAGACGCAGACTCTCTAATGTTTGCAGATGAGCAGCAGCGTCATATATAATGGGGGAAATGTCTGCAAAAGCAGACAAAATGCTGCGGCATTACCTCAGCAACCAGTGTAGCAGGCAAGGCAGAGAGAGTTGGTAATATGCTGAAACATAAGTGGCAAACACAAATGACTGCAACAAAAACAGCATGGTGCCTACCTAAGAACACAAGTGCATGAGCAGAATCGGAGGAGGCGGCGGCCACTGTGGGCGTAAAGCTGACTGCCGATCATTCCCCCCACAATCATTCCACAAAAAGAAGCAGCAGCCACTGCAACAATCTGTCCATACGCAGTAACGCAGAACAGCAAAACAAAACCACAGGCAAGCAAATCATAACCCTCAGCAACCCAACAGCTGATACCTGCTCCCTTCCCAAACAATACGCCAGGTTGCTGTCAGAATAACGCGAACAGCAAGCCTTCCTTTGCTTCTTCAGCAAAGAATATAGCACTGCCTGCACCAGGGCACCGAAATGTTTTGCTAGCTCAGGGATGCGAGAAGAAACCCCAAAGAGGCCTATAAAAGGCCTATTCCTTGTTGTGTCGCTTGTTCAGTCAAATGTTCCGTGCTTTACTTCCTCTATCTGTCCACTTGCAACTCCCTGCTCTTCCCACCTTTCCCTGGGTGTATTCTGTCTTTCTGCACCACTACTACATTGCATTCATTTTAAGCTCTCTGCGCTTCCTATCATCAACTGATTCTATGCATTTGAGCGGAGTTGCATGCAAAACAGTAGCAGCAAGCCGCTGCTCACAGCTGCAATTGCCACACTGTCTGACAGGCCGACGTCCGTCCTTAGGAAGTCGTGGAGGTAGACAACTAAAACACCCCAAGGAACATTCCCTGGAAATGCCTGAGAAAAACAAAAAAAACAATGCAATCCTAATGACGACAGGGAGCGACAACCGTAGACCCATATGCTGCTGCTTACAATGCACAGAAGGCGAGTTAAGAAAGCAGAAGCATCATAACCATGAGGGGTGGAAAAGTGGGCTAGCAGTACGTGTACCGCATACATGAATAGCCAAGCAGACATACACAGACTACAGCACATACACCATGGCTGCATGCGCGGAATCAAAAACGCCTATACAATCACATTCAGATGCACAGAACATAGGGAATGCATCACATCTCTGTGCATAAAGAAGTGGAGAAGCACGCATGAATGCCTGCATGTACGCAGATTACAGTGAACCCATCAAATCTACATATGCACAATGGATCACACAGAAACGTGTGGGGGGGTTTCAGCTATGTACACAGCAGAGCGGGAATGTTGCTGCGCCGCCCACGAGATCGGGCCCCCCTTTTGAATCCAAATATGAATATTCACAAATGCTTGAATGAACAAATACGCATTCATGTTAAGCGCCAGGCATCTGTCAACAGCAACCCCTAGGGGTTGCTGTTGACAGACTCTTCTCAGCACTTGCTGGCCTCAGCGTGTTGGTTTAGTGTTTTGGGATCTCGTATTTCATGTGCCTCACCTGAACGAGCATGAGGAGGTTCGTTTTGGAACGCGCCATGGCCTTGAGGCTGTTGAGATCGAGGCCTCGGCATTCGTATGCTCCTCCCTCCCCAGCTTCCACGCAGTGCGGGGTGCAGTGGGAGCTGGAGGTGGCGGTGAGGGGGCCATTGGCAATGTAGTAGAACTGCGCCATGAAGAGGAGCGGGGCTGCGAGAATGAGGAAGACCCACCGCCAGTCGAGGGCCCCCAAGAGCGCAGCTAGGCACTGTCCACAGAAAGTACCGAAGCCCGCAGCTCCCAGCACTAATGCAGAGGCGCACGAACGCAAAGAGGGCCGGAACCAATCTCCCACCCACGAATAAGCCAAGGGGTGAACCCCCCCGCTAGCTAAACCTGCTGCAAGGCGCAGCAACGCCAACTGCCAGTACGCTGAGCAACAAACCCCATAGAGGCAACACAAAACAGCAACCTCGACACCGTATGAGAAAGATATGTTTCCAGAAAGAGAAGAAGCACAACACAGGTTACATTGCAGGCCACTGGTCGGCTGCCGAACACACAGATATCTAAATGCATTGAAAACAAATAATCTCCGTGAAGAGAAGACCCAATACCAACACACACAGCACAGAGGAACTTTGCGGGGGGCAAGAAAAGGAGAAACAAAACGCTGCAAACGCGACATCTGGGTGTATCCTGGAAACTCCATTCAAATCTCCTCGTCGTGCTTCCGCCCATTCAAGCACGAATAACTGCATGCACGCACGCGTGGAGGAGAAGCCAGCCACACACAAGGCCCCACCGTTCACAAAAAAGGTGCAAAGGGAGGCGAGCCCTGCTAGGAGAAGAACAGCAGAAACAAGCTTGTTTTTATCTAATAGGCCGGCGCACAGCCCCACAGCAATCGAGCCAATACAGCCTGGAGTGTAGTACAAAAACCTGAACAAAACAGCACCATATTGGCACAAAACCAGCAAACAGACAAGCGGCATACAAACACAATGCACGCATACGTTCTTGGTGCAGACGCTCATTGCAGCTGCATCAACTGGAGCAGCAGCGGGCACGCCCTTTTCTGTCTGGCAATTAAAGCCACCCTTAAGAGCAGAGACAAGCGAACAATAATATATATATTATTGTTATATTGTTATATATAACAATATAACATTATATATAACAATATAACATATATATATATTATATATAT